AGCTCACATTTTTCTGTTGACACTTTTTCTGATCAACGCTTAAAACTATTGCTTATTATTCATTTTTCGAAAATAAGAAGTCATGATACATGGCATGATTGCTGACTCTTGACCTTTGTGAATCACTCAGTTTCTCAAACTTGTTTAGGGATAATGACACACTGCAGAAGTAAAACATCAACTTCAGGAAACATACATATCTATGAAATTTGTTCAAATCGAGCGAATAACTGATTAAATTGAAATTTGTGACTCAGTGTTGATTGTGCGTGAATAGTTTGAATTATGTAATTTTGTATTCAAACTACATAGGCCGTTAACCATATTCCCAGTTTACTGACCGGTCACATTTTCAGATCCGTTTCCCAGCTCCCACGCTTGCAAGATATAACATTTATCAACTCTTTTGTTTTCTGAAACTCAATTTTCAGTGACAAATATCCCACATAAGAATTTTTTTCAAAAAATTCCTTCTCCCTTCCTCTCCCAGGACCTTTTGATGTCACTTTCATCACTCCTCTCACACCACATCCGACTTGACACTACATTTTTCAAATCTGTCGCTCGGATGTCGTTATTTCAAGTTTGAAATAATATAAAAATAGTAAATCACTCAGATTTATGTGCATTTCTCTCTTGTCTGTCCAGAAAATGTGACCTGACAAATTGTATGTATATGTGAAGAGGACTCTTTTTTTTTCAATGAAAACTACTTGAGTTTAAAAAATTTCACTGGTGGGACACTTGAGTCACTACCGGAAATTAATTGTGCACTCTGAGAAGAAGTGGTGCACTTTTCAATTTTTAGTCAGATTTTTTGGAAAGCGCTGACTTTTTTTTTCAAAATCATTTTCAAATCAGAAGAAAAAAGATTTCAAGAATTCTTAGGAAATTTGACATTCTTATATCATACAAATTACTCATTTTCATTAGAAATATGGTATCTTGGGAATCCAAAATCTTTTGAATCGAATAACAAACCTAAAAATCATGATTGCACTTTAGCTGTAATGTGATGACCAACCATCTAAAGTACACCAGATTCTGTTTATAATTCGGATGGAGCCAACCAAAGTCATTCCGTGCTTTCTTGACTTCTCTTTTCTTCTTCTCCCATCCGTTAGTCTCCTCTCTTCTCTTTTTTTGTTCTTCCCAAATTTGCCGTCGACACTTCTTAATTTATGTAGCACTCATTCTTATTACATCCCTGCCGTGAGAAAAAGTCCAATCATGCGACATCATGTGTATTCTCTGGAAATCCTATTAATGGATATCCGTTTTTTCTCCGATTTCCCTAATGCGAGAAATAGAGTAAAAATATGCTGTTTTAAGTTTAGACTCTTCAATGTTCCTTCTGGATCAAAAATATAATTTCATAGCAAATTCCAAATTTCAAATTCCAATTGAATGCGAAAAGTTCAGCTTCAATTAATCAAGCTTCTCTTCTTCCTCCTTCTTTCCTGAATTTTCCATTTTTGACTCGTCACTTTGTCTTCCCTCCTCGCCTGCTCCATTTTTCCATCATAAATTCAAAAACCAAGACAAAGAAGTGGGTATGACGTGCAAAGCCCTCAAAATAATCAAAAATAAACTTTTCATCATTCCAATTTGTCTCTTCCCATACTTACATTAATAGATTGATTCCGAAATGTCTTCCTACTAATGTTCCAGTCGGAAAAATCAAGAAAAGAGAGTTTAACGACAGAGAGTTTAACTTTGACTTTTTGTTCTTTCTTTTGTCTCCATTTGCAATTCGAGGATGCAGGAAGTTTAAAGTGTGTTTTAGACTTTTCTTTCACTTCTCTATTTAAGGAACTCTTGGAAAAGTCCATTCTGTGCCAGCAAAGAAGAATGTAGGCTATTGTTTTTCCTTTTTTTTCCAAATTCAAATAGAACTAAAGGTTCATCGGCTTTTGAGTTTCTTCAAAATTTTTGAGTTTCTTCAGAATTTCTGATTGTATTTTTGTTTATTTTTTTTGAATGGTTTCACTTAAACCTATATATTTTGAACTATATTTTTAATGTTAACAATTTATTTTCGATGTCGTATTTTTGTGTTTCCAGTTTTGATATTTAAGGAAAACATGAATCATAAAATTACAATCTAGTTTAATCCGTATTTTGAGTGGGAATTTCTAAAATGTACAGTGCACGCAAAAATTATATCATAAAATAGTCATTTCAGTTCAAAACAGGCAACTTTGGGGGTCTGAAAGAGAGATTATAAATCAAATAAAGAACTTTATTTTTGTAGTTGCCCACTTTTTTGCACATTCCTTGCTGGAAAAATACCTGATGTCAAACAGAAAACGACCCAAAATGATTGTACAAAAAATTTGCTAACTATAAGAATAGAGTTTTTATTTCATTACTGATCCATAAAATAACATTTCATTCAAGACATCAGAACTGAATTTGTTACAGACGCTGACTTTTTTGTGAAACTCCTTTTTCAAATCCAAAATAAAAAGGTTTAAAAATGCTTAATAATTTAATAATAATCTTATATCATACAAATTACTCATTTTCGTTACAAATACGAATATCTTAAAAGTCCAAAATCTCTCGAATAGAATAACAACCCTAAAAATCAAGATTGCACTTTGAATGTAAAGCGATGACCAATCTTTTCAAAGTGCACTAGATTCTGTTCACAATTCGTTGGTTGGAGCCAACTAACAAGGGAACCTCAACACCTCACAAACCCAGATTTTAATGAAATTTTCAGGATAGGTTGAAAATCGCCAATCTAGACATCTCTGAAAATTTTAGAATCCGCCCGCCAGTTTCATCCAAGTAATTATCAGTACCAAAAACCAAGAAGTACCAGCACCAAAAATCATATTCAGTACCAAAAATCGCCTCTTCAGTGCAAAAGCAGCGTTTTCAAAGACGATTTTCTCATGTCCTAGGACGTTTCAAAGCATGCAATTTGTTGTTTTATACTCAAATTTTAATAAAACTTGATTTTTCAAACTTTTTCTCACAACAAAAACATTTGAAATGCTGAATTTTTCCACGATTTTCCAGATTTCTTTGTAAATTGGAAAAAAATTTTGAGAAAAAAGTTTGAAATATCAAATTTCATTAAAGTTTGAATATAACACAACAAACTTCATGCATTGAAACGTCTTGAAAAAACTTGAAAAAATCGTCTTTGAAAACGCAGCTTTTGCACTGAAAAAGCGATTTTTGGTACTGAAACTGATAATTACTTGGATGAAACTGGCGGGCGGATTCTAAAATTTTCAGAGATGTCTAGATAGGCGATTTTCAACCTAAGCTGAAAATTTCATAAAAATCTGGGTTTGTGAGGTGTTGAGGCTCCCTTGTTAGTTGACTCCAACCAACGAATTGTGAACAAAATCTTGTGAACTTTGAAATGATTGGTCATCACATTACATTCAAAGTGCAATCTTGATTTTTAGGGTTGTTATTCTATTCGAGAAATTTTGGATTCCCAAGATACCGCATTTCTAACAAAAATGAGTAATTTGTATGACATAAGAACCTGAAATTAATAAGGATTTTGAAACCAATCATTTTTGGGGTTTTCTGTTTGACATCAGGTATCTTTCAAACAACTGAATGTGCAAAAAAGTGGGCAACTACAAAAATGCAGTTCTTCATTTGATTTATAATTTTTAAATTTTTCAGAACAAACAAACATGTTATAAATACTTTTTCAGGCACCCAAAGTTGTCTGTTTTGAACTGAAATGACTATTTTATGATAGAATTTTGGCGAGCATTGTACATTTAAAAAATTTCCACTCAAAATGCAGATTAAACTATTCCGTCATTTTGTACTCATAAACCGTCATTTCGTACTTATCCACTCCGTAACAGGCACGGAAACGTCATTATGCTTGAAATAAAATTTATAACGACAACGAATACCCTGATGACCCCAAATGTAAAAAAAACCTGATTGACGACACTTTGTTTTCGAAATGATCGCTATTTTTAGAGAAGAATCGAAAGAAGAAAATTTTGATTTTCTTAGATAATTTCAATTTGCCATACCCTCACAGCTGAATGTACAGTGCTGGCCGGAATTCTAAATTAAAATGAAAATTTATTTAAGAAATGGCCAACTTTAGGTGTCTGGAAAAGTACTTATTGTTTGTCCGCCTGGTCTGTAACTTTCTAGGACCATAAATGAAATATAGAGCAATAATTGTATAGTTGAAAACTTTTTTATACAGGCATTTGCTGAAGAGATAACCTGTGTGAAACAGAAAATGCATCAAATTTATACGAAAAAGTTGTGAACTAGAAAAATAGAGCCTCACACTTGCGCCCAATATTTCTGAAATTTTCAGAACAAACGGATAAGTGATAAATTCTTTTGTAGACCCTCCAAACTGATCAATTTTCACTGGATTCTGCAATTCGACTTTTTTTTTGTCCAGTAGCGTATTTTCTTTTAAAAACGTGAAACATAGATTTTCATTCATTTTGAAACTAATGGTTTGTACCGAAGCAGCTTTCAAAATTTTATTACAGTAGTTCCAAAAGCCGACTTTCCAAATCCCAGCATTTTTCAAATTTCTTAAAAGCTGGCCTGTTTTTCATTTTTTTTTCCTCTTCGGAAAAAGAAAAGAATACATCATCAATCAATATTCTTCTTTTCCTGTTTTCTCTTCTAAAATTGTGATTGGGCCGCAAAAACCTGTCATGTCAAAAAAAAGAAGGGTTTGACACCTCACCGAAAAACTCAATTACAATATTTCCCTATTTTCAATCATTTTCGTGCTCACCGAGGGTGTTCTCCACTTTGTCATCATCCATCTAAAAAAATCTCGAACCTCCCAAGGATGCTTGACAGTTGGAATACATTAATTACGTGCTTTTCTCTTTTTCTCTTTTTCTCTAGCTTCGTTTTCGGTACCTCTTGGCTCCGCCCATTTTTTAGTTTTTTTGAAGTGGCATCCTTCTCTTCTCATTTTCATTCGACTGGACATCATGTGTTTTAGCTTCCGAAGAATTAAGAAAAAGATGTTGACTCTCGTCGACTGTGTTCGTCCAAATTCTTCGGACGTAGAGGAGCAGCCGATCCAAACCGTCAGTGCATCGCTCTCTTCAAGTTCAACAGAATTCAAACCTTCACGACATGTCCCAGATACTATTCGCCCCAGTCACAGTCGCCGCGCGAGAATCGAGTTCCCGGGTGAGCCGATGTACCGGTGCTTCTCTTGCAAAAAGGATATTCCTGTTGTTGATTGGCGTCACTACTCGAGATGCAAAGAAAGAAAGGAGGGCGGGTTGACATGTGAACAGCTTCTGAAAGAGAACCTCTTAATTTCAGCGGGTCCTTGCAAGTTCTGTCGTCAAGGACGAACGGACAGGCCAAGTGAGCAAGATGTGAACAACTGCAACGGAGGCTTCGAATATTCGGTTCGCGAGGTTAGTGAAAAGAAATTTAGAACATCAGGGAAGCAGTGGGGAAAATGAATAGGTTATCACGTTGAAGTTAAGCCTCATTAGTCACTCAACAATCTTATTTTTAGTTGTGAACTCTTCATGTTGTGAACTTCAGATCAGCTGATATATTTTCATAAAAACCAAATTTAGCCCACCAACATTTATAGCCTATAAAGAAACAGATATACATTTAATGGTTTCCTAAGCCACTTTGACATGATGGCCTAACTAGTTCAACTTGAGTCTTGTTTGCCACCGAATTTTCTGGCCTAGAAGAGACCTGATATTTACCTGGTTGGTTTTCTAGACCATTTTAACATGACAGTCTAATTTTCGTAAGTCGAGTTTCCTAGGCCACCACTTCGAAATATCCTAGAAAAAACACCTAGGGAATGACAGGTCGTTTCTAGGACACTTTATTATGGCGGCCTAGAAAATTCAACCTGCAAAAATTAGGTCATCTTTTTAAAACGTCAAATTTCATAGAATATGACCTAATGTTTTCTAGATAATTACTTAATTTCTTAGTGGCCCCAAACTTTCATTGATCAAGATATTACGGACACTTTAATTGAGACAAAAATCAGAAAAATGCAAATTGCCTAATTTTTCTAGGAAGACGCCTCAATTTTCGATTTTCAACTCTGCAAGACACAACTGGAATTGTTTTTCAAAAACATCAAAGAGGAAGTTCTGGCCGATTTCAAACGGTCAATGGTCGATGGCAGTGGATTCCCGTTCATCTGCTTCGGATGCACAATGGATACTAAATCCAAATGTTACTCATGTACGGCTAATCTTCCGGGACCGACATTCTTGGTATATTGTAAAAAAAAATCAACACAAATCGAAATATTGATTTTTGCAGAATAAGATGAACAATTTCATCGACAACGCAATTCTTCCAACGTATATGCTTTATACGGAGTCGTACAAAGACGCAGAAGATGCTATCGTAGAGAAGGAGTATGAGGAAAAGTGGAAGATCGCCAACCCAACCCTGGAGTACAAAAAAGAGAAAGCTCGATTTGCTCTGATGAGAAACGCAGCTTGGTGTAAAGCGGATATTGCTCGTTCACGTGAGACATTTGTGAAGCTTTTGAAGGAGTTTCGGGACAAGTACAACATGGAAACACTCAAAGAGATCTCATCGATCAGAAACAATCACGCCTTCAACACTCAACGTGCCATCATTGGACCACCGGGAAGAATGATTGCATCTGCTTAAATCGTTTTTGTATTCTCCCTCCATTCGCACTTGTTTTTCAAATACTCCCAACCCTTCTTCCTTTATAACCGTCTCTCTATCATACACCCTCCTCCCATGAAATAGAATGGTTATCAAACAACTTTGAGCTCATATATCTCATTTCTTTAAAAAGATATCAAAACGTGGTCAGTTGAAAGAATTTTCATCATACTATCAAAAATACTATGTTACTTAAGACACTTTTGATATCTAATATAGAAATTGAGATAACTGAGCTCAAAGTGCAAGACAGCATTCTATTTGAGTGTTTGAGGTAATCGTCTCTCTATCTAACACCTAACCCTGTTCACTCGCTAGTTTGCTTCCCGGTCTCACATTCTCGAAATTCATTGTTTCACCCATTTCACTATTTTTCTTTTGTCACATTTTGGCAGAGACACCATTTAAAACATCCCTTCAAATATAGCTCATTCTGAATAACGATCTCACACTTTATAATTAGTTTGCGCTTTTTTTGAAGCTGATCACAATATTAATGTATTTCACCCCGTCTTATAAAACTTCTCTCGCCCACTTCACCTTTCTTGGATATGCCCCTTTCATTTAATGCCCGTCCCGCTTTTAAGCTTCTTCAATTAAATAATCAATAAACTTTTTTAAAAACATAGAGTATCGCTTCTTGGTTGCTACTCGGTCCCTCCCCCGTTGACGTTATATTTTTATGGATAGTTTTGATACTACTTTGGCTACAAACGAAGTATCTAATCGATGGTTTCAACCAAGAACTAAAATTTGAAGTAATCATGTGGACGTATTAGAGACGTCTTGAGGCAAATCCAAACATCCAAAAAGCCAGAATGCACGTTGACCACAAAGTAGCCTCTACTTTTTTTTTACAAAAAATGAAATATATTTACTGACTTTTGTTTTCGAAATTTTGCGAATACCAGAAATATTCCCAAATGTATTTTCCTACATATAAAAGCTCAAAACAATTTGATCATCACATGGTTTTCTGTGTGACATGTCAGAGGTTTTCTACAATATTTGTTTTTGTTTATATGTTCATTTTCCACACAAAAAAATGTGGAAATTTGATGACTCACCAAAATCACCAGAATCTCCACCGACTCGTGTGAATCACTAAAGTTTTAGTCATTCTCGCGGTTTACCCTGTTCATATCTTGCTCAGTTGTCTTCATTTAACTATACTATAAACACACCAATAGAATTCCTCTCCCGACTTGTCTACTTTGAGCTCATGTATCTCATTTTCTGTGAAATGTAACAAAAGAAGTAAACAGGCAAATTGTGTATTATGACTTAAAAAACATTTTGTCAGTTGACTACTTTTTGGTATCTCTTACAGAAACTGAGATAAATCGGCACAGCTTTTAAAGAAATGGGATCATTCTATAAGTGTTTACGGTATCTCTGCTCATTCTCTTTACATGTTGAATTTTCGCATCCTCGACTTTAGATTTTTTTAAAATGTACTTTTCTCTGACCTCTCACAAACAACGTTCTTGTCTATTTGCGTTGCCTCCAATATGACGTGGTATTTTTCCTCTAACTCTATACGTTCACCCACACTTTGCTTCAAAATAAGCAACACCTCGTGGTTGCTAGACATCACCATAGGCAATCTGAACCTCAGCTCCCTATAGAACGAGGCTCTCTAGTTCTGCCCAAAACAAACGATTGCCAGAGAGCCACATTTTATTGTTTCCTCTTTTCGTTTCGCACTACACTAACAAGGGAACGACAACACCTCGTCAGTTTGAATTTTGATGAAAATTTCAGAATATGTCAAGGATATCCTATCTAGACATCCCTGAAAATTTTAGAACACGCTCGCCAGTTTCAGCAGAGTTATATCAGTCCTAAGTTTTAGTACTGAAATCCGTTGATTTGCATGCTTTATCGCACATTTCATCCCCGAAATCCCTTTAAAGGGAGTTTGAAGAGGGCATGACATTTAAGCGCCTTTCGAAAATAGTAAATGTCGACAGCGTGGTGTCGGGGATGTGGTGGGCGCCAGTAGTCACAAGTCTGTGGGTTCGGACCCTCTAGTGTTTTTTTTCTTTCTTTTTGTTTTCTTATTGTGCGACATTTCAGGATCCCTCTGACATATGTTTCAAAATGTTATCAATTCAAGAGATTAGAACCAAAATTTAGAAAAAAAAATTTCAAAAAAATTCCAAAAAAATGTTCTGGAACCTCCTAGGAGCGGAGAAAATCACCTTTGAAAATCGCTATTTTTGCACTGAAAACGCGATTTTTGGTACTGAAACTGATATAACTCGGCTGAAAGTGGCGAGAGTGTTCTAAAATTTTCAGGGATGTCTAGATAGGCTATCCTTGACATATACTGTAAATTTCATCAAAATCCAAACTAACGAGGTGTTGTGGTTTCCTTGTAAAATGATACAGAGACCCCGATAGTAGACATATTGTTGTTACCATATAACGCATCTTCTACCTTTCCCCCCACAGAACAAATCAAACGATTGTTACAATAAAAGGAGAGTTGCGTTTTATATGACAAGGTCAGCCATCTCGCAAGAACGAAAAACGGAACTGCAAAAATCATAAAAACGAAACAAATATAAGTTTACAGTTTCCAAGAGGAAACCATTGTTAGATCCCTCAGAAAACTTCTTGAAATTCCAGAGTAGCATCCATGGCTTCCATTTAATCTTTCTAATCTCCATCTCATTCTAACTTCAATTACAAAAATAGCTGTGAAAAAAAGAAGCCAAAAACCCACAAAGTTTTTTTTTTATCTCTCTCTCTTCAATCCCAGAATCTAATATTTTTCCTTCAACGTCTGAATCTCTGAGGTGTTTTTGAGAGTGATTTTATGCGGCCTTTTTTCCCAGACCTTTTTTTCTTTTACATCTTCTCCTTCTCCCGACTTGACTCTATCTTGGCCCCCTCCACCTCTTCGCCACGTCTCTTTCTCTCCCCTTCTCTCTGCTCAGTTGATGTTTTCTCTGCCACTCGGTCAATCCAGCGAAATAGTCTGTGATTTGCGGAGACCAGCAGAGCATTCAAAAGCAATAGAGAAGAGAGAATCGATAGAACGAGACGCGGCCATCGTTAGTTCTCATACCGCTCGACGTGTCTTCATTTTCATTTTTTTTTTGAAATTTTCAGTGTGTGAATTGCGGCCCCTTGGAATTGTTGTCGACGTGGTATCCATGATCGGGAGAATTATTTGGGGTTGGATTATGGCCGTTGTGGATTTTTTCCAGGTGTCAATTTTAAAAGTTTTACGTTATTCAGTTTTGGTTTTTTTAACTAGGTTGAAAAACGCAGAAAATTCTGACGATTTCTGATTCAAAACCTCAGAAATTTGAAAAAAATAGCGTTAATCGTCCCTCGAAAAAGGAGCCATGCGGCTCTTACTTTTTGGTCCGCCTCATTAATTATTATGTTAATTTATCACCGATTCATTCATTCTCTCAAAATTCTCTTCCGATTTTGCAGCCAAAAAGCACCTAACGTTAGATCACTTTTGCTGTTCATTTTCTGAAGCTTTCTTTCTAGCGAAACATCTAGAAAAAAAACTATTTTTTGCTGTTAAAAACTCTTAGGAGAAATCATGCGGCGATATTGCTAAAGGGGAGGAGCCATTGATGCAGGAAATTCTTTATATAAACCTTGATTTTTAAAACAAAGAATTCACCAACATTATACTATCATTATTTCCATATACGCTTTCAATCGTTGTTCAATCGTTGATTTAAATTCTTTATTGAAATTATCATGTTTTCAGCCGAACAGAAACAACAACGCACCTGATCCGCCACTCATCGAAGACCAGGACCAGGAGGACCAGCGGGAGGTAGTGGACCACAGCGCAATGGAGCCGGAGAACGTGATGAGAGTTGTGAGAAATCATGACCATCGTCATGAACAGCTAGAAGCAGCTCGTGAGCAACACGAAGCAGCAGCTCGTAGACTAGGCCAAGCTATTGTAGACAACGGCGGTGAAGAGGCTAGCATGCGTCAACGCGAAGCAGCTCGTGCAATGCGTCAGGCCATTGTGGTCAACGACGATGAAGACGGCAGAATTCGTCGTCAACAGAGACAAATTCCGCCTCGGCGTCGTGCCAGAGGTAGAGTTCTCAGATCCGCTAAGTGACGGGAAACGAAATAGTTGGTTTTTCAGACGAAGCAGAGGCCAGAATGCGTCTACGCGAAGCAGCTCGTGCAATGCGCCAGGCTATTGTGGCCAACGACGATGCAGACGACAGAATTCGTCGTCAACAGATACCAATTCCCCCTCGGCGTCGTGTGCCAGGTACAGCTCTCAGCTCCGCTGAGTGACGGGAAACAAAATCTTTGGTTTTTCAGACAGAAGAGAGATGCCGATTCAACAAGCTATCCATCGAGCTCAGTACGCAATTGAAGCTCAGCAAGAGCAGCAAAGTGAGTGGGAAGAGAAACACGCAGAATCTCAGGGTCTTGTCGAATTCGAACCTGTAACCCGGTCCCGATAGCTAATTTTTTTATATCTTGAGAAAAAACTTTCTCTTTCTACCTCAAAGAAGAATTCCTTAGATTTTTAGTTTTTACATAAATATAGAAACTTTGAAAAATTTCAAAAAACTTTGGAATTTTAGAAATTTCAGAATTTGACCCGGGCCGACAGGGCCGGGCTAAGCCCGGAAAAAGAACGAGATCACCTAATCATTTTTTCAGAAAAGACTGAGTGCTCATTCTGCAACACTCTCATCCTGAACACTGAGTTCGTCGAGCACCTCACCCCATGCGCAACGGAACATGGAATTGTTGGAACTCAGGTTTTCATTAGTGACGTTAACTCATGTCTTTAAACAAATCTTGTTCCAGAAGAACCTCCCCTTGTACAATTTTCTGTCAAATTCGTGGACGTTGGACCAGGAATTTTATAAAATGAGGCAAGGGCTAGAGATCGAGTATCTCGAAGCTTGTCGAGACCCCTCCAAAATTTCCGATATGCACTGTATTAAATGTCCCACGTGGCGGGATCACAACGCGGGAGGGTGCATGAGCAACCTGCAAAAAGCCGCGTTCTTAGTAAGTTTTGAATTTGTGAACCCCCTTTGAACTATTGCATAATTTCAGCATCATACCGACCGAATTCTGAATCTGTACATGGCACATTATGAGATTTCTCTGGAGCTGAAGAAGGATCGAGGAGTTGAAGAGATCAATGCGAAGCACATTGCAGACTTTGGCTCCGTTGAAGAGTACCTGAACAGTAATCCAGTGAACTTGGTAAGCTTCATCAGTCAACAGAAAGGCAAAATTCAATCTTTCTTTTTCAGGAATCTGAACATAGCCGCGAGGGAGTCCGCCATGAAACGCTTGAGAAACAGAATGTCGAGCGCGACAAGTTCATCCAAGAAGAAATGGATAAAAATCGTGCTGCCTACGCTCGAATGAAGGAGATGGTCATTAGATACGCTCTTCGGAAATGCTCAGAAATGGTAGTTTATCTCGGGCAGAACAAAGATCGGTCCGACATCGGACAGGTTTTGGCCTACAGAAAATGTCTCCGTGACGAGGGATACGAGGCGGCGAGTCGCTTGGAGCGAGCTGAGCAAGGTGAAGTGGATGATTGGTTTGGTGGGTGGCGCGGTGAGAGAAATGAGGATGTGCGCAACGCAGGTCCTGATCCCGAGGACTACCCATGGATGGAAAACGACGAATTTGTCAATGCAAATGAGGAATTGAGGCGTGGCCAAGTGTTGTTGGACATGTGGAACAATGCAAACGTTGTCGAAGATGACGATCCAATCATTGAGGAAGATGACGATGCGGTCATGGCAGAGGCCCCACTCAACCAAGATCAACCCATCTAAATGAAATGCATTCCGATTCCGTGACAAAGCCGGTCCCTCAAAAATCTCTGGACGTAAATATCTTCCCTTGTACTGTCTTACTGTCGTTTATCTCGAATCTTTCTGTCAAATTGCTTTTCCTTCTCCTCCCATTCTTCCATTCATTCAATTTTTGAAAACTTCACGAGTCCCATTTGTTTCGTAATTATTTGGCTAATATATCTGCATGATGTGCATGCAATGCTTGAATCTCTTTCTTCTTGATTGAAAATTTTCAAATCATGTGTTTTCCTGTCTTTCTTTCTCTCTTTCTCTCTTTCCAAATTGTCTATCCTGAAATTAATAATGTATTCTCCCTCCGATTCACATACGTCAACGCATTTGCAATGTCATTGGTATTTCTAAAGCTACGAACTTCACAGTTCAAAATAAATTCATTCCCGGTACTTGTTGTTGGATATGTTGATCCAGTATTTTTACTGCTCAAATATTTCTCTCCCAATTTTGTTTTTCAGACGAGATTTTAGGCGATTTTCAGACGATTTGAGCGGAGCAGAACAAAATCAATGAAAATGACCGCAATTCGACGTGATGGTGTTTGCGGACTGCTAAATTATGGAAAAATAGAAGATGTGTGGTCCCTGAAAAAAATAGACAATGCATGCGATAGATGGGATAAAATTGGAAAAGGGAAAAGTGAGATTAATCAGACAGCAAGTGACTTTTTATAAAGGTGCGATTTATTTCCGTAAAATTGTATGAAAAATATCAACGAAGAATAAACCGAAACAATGAAAATTCGACTCTTTCCGGGGGAAAAACGGTGATAATAAGGTGAGAAAGCCGGTCTCATCTTTGAACTGCTGGCCCCAACGATTTACCGATGCCCGATCACTGTCCCAACGTTCCGACAACGGTCCCAAATTCACAATTTCCTGAAGGAAACGTCTGTCAGCCTGAGGAGCACTGAAAAAAGGATTGAAAACTGATTTGACGTACGCGAGTATTTAATAGAAGGTCTTCGATCTCCACGAAATCCGTCTTCGATCTCCACGAAATGAAGATGAAACTGCTAGTATGAATTTCAGCCAGGATTCGCTTATGGCACCCAGAGGGATTGACAGCTGAATTGTCCATTATCGGGATGTGCCAGCGAGAAAGATAAAAACAATATAACTAAAGGTCGTTGTTGGAACGTTGGGACCGTCGATCCGATAATGTGACCGATCGTCCCATCTTGGGACCATTCTTTCCGGAAATTGCTGAAAATTTCACATTGAACAGAATAATGTTCAAGCCATCTTCAATTTTCGAAAATTTTCAACAAAATCGGTAGTATTCTGAAAAATAGGCTTTTTTCAGAGAATGAAACAACTCGCGAAACAAATGAAGGAGAACTGATAATAAGCTGAGATATTGTCGGGCAAGGTAAGCTTCGATTTTTCGTAACATGTTATTAAACGTGAACAAGCGTTGCGGAGTACAGAGCTGATTGGAGGTCAATGACTGCCAGAACCGAGTAAAACTCGTCCCTTCTCTGATTCTAACCGCTGTAGCAAGCCGCTATTTGGTTATCTATTTTCAGGTGCTGAATGGTCGTCAGGACATCCATTTTTCGATAAAGGCAAAAACAAGATCAGAACCAGGTATTGAAGATTTTGAAACGGTACCATTGTCCTCTTGCTGCCCCTCACATCGACGAGCTGTGAGAGTAAATTATTCCATTCGCCGTGGTCATCGTATTGGGATCCAATCTTTGAAATTGCATTTTTAGAATACGTTTCTGTCAAATCCTTTTCATTTTTCCCGAAACAGAATGATTTTCTGAATAAAGACATCTCATTGTTTGATATGTCCCTCCAGCATGTACACTGCTCGAATATTTCTCTCTCAATCATTATTTTTAGATACGATGGGCGAAAAAAAAAAAAACAAATCAATGAAAATGACCGCAATTTGTCGTGATGGTGTTTGCGGACTGCGATTAAAAGGTTCAGTTACGTTTTAGGAAAATAAAGATGGTCGAAGAAAATAGCGTCAAACTGAAGAAAAAAAACTTGAGGTGAATCAAAAAACAATCGAATCTAAATAAAGGTGCGTTTTTTCATTCCGAAACTTTTGAATTGAAAAAAAACTGTGAAAAAAAAACAAAAAAGTGACTCTTCTCTTGAAAAAACAGTCCTATCATTAGATCGCCAGTCTCTACAAGTTCCCAATGCTCCGATCACGGTCCCAACTTCACATTTCGTTTTGAATCACACCCGGTTTACTCCAAAACCAGCTCCGATTCGGTTTTTCGGTTTGAGAAAATAACCTGAACCGAATTTGTCGAATGAGAATTCAGATCTGGCGCAGCTCTCAACACTGTAAAAGAAAGCAAGAAAAAGAAAAATCCAACCAAGGACTGTTATCGGAACGTTGGGTCCGGCCATGGCGATGGGATCGGCTGAACCCAAAATTTCTGAAAAGTGCATTTCCAAGTGGATTATTATGAATTTTCAGATATTTTTCGCAAAACCTTTAGTATTCTTAAAACTTATTGTTCTTTCCAGAGAATGGAGTAGCTCGGGAAACAGTGCGAATGAAAGAGAGCTGATGATAAGCTGAGGTTTCGCCGGACCAGGGTAGATACAATTTTTGGTAATTTACTTCACAACTTGGGAAAGGATTGCCGATAAAAGAGCTGATGAGAAGCTGATGACCTCGAAATTTTTTTTAAATATGCCCCTCGAGGAATTGAACTTGTGTGGGCGAGGATTGAGGGTGCGGCGCCGCTACCGACTGAGCCACGCGGGCAAAGAGAAAGCGCCCGCCCGAGTGCATACATAAGGGTGAGGACGACAGCTGTTCGCAGAAGGACATTTAGCGTTGTACACCGTTACGGTAAAATGCATACCTTAACTCCAAAAAACCTCGGAAAAATCTCCTTTCCCCCCCCCCCCCCCCCACCTTTAAACACTATTTTATGATCTGTTTTCAGGTGCTGAAAGGCAATCAGGCCGTCCAATTCTCCAGGAAGACAGAAAACAGAATCGGATTCAAAGATTGGAAATTCTGAAACAGGACAATCGTCCTATTGCTATATCCATACATCGTCAATTTGTGGAAGTAGATTTTTCATTCGCCGTCTTTGTCGTATCAAGATTCAATCTTTAAATTGCCATTCTTTTTAAAAATTCCTCTGTCATAGATTGTCCATTTTCCCCTAATATGAATTTTTAATTAATTTTTGAAATGAAACTGTTTCTCGAGGAATACAACCATATTTAGTCAGTTTTTCTGATGTTATCTGCTTTTCTTTCACATGTTTTCGTTTTCACTTTATCGGTTATTCAATCAGAAAGTTTGCGAAATTTCAAAAGTTAGGTTTTTTTTCGAAGAAAGTCACAAGTTTTCTCCAATTGAAAAAAAAACGGTTTTCCGTGTGTGCTGTATGATTCTTGCTGTTTTAGTGTCCGATCAACTTGCGATCGCCCGTAATAGAGAAAAAAATGGAGATAAAAATAAAGAAGTAAAAGACGCAATTCGAACGTCCGTGTATGCGTCTTGTGCATACACGCGCCGAGCAAAACCAGCGGAAAATTCATATCTAGTTTTGAGAAAATAAATTGTTGTAATTAGAATTGCAGATTGCTAAAAAGGAGACAATTAGGCAATATGAATCATCTGTTGTCCGAAGCAAATGTTGGAGTTCCTTTAGAATCTTAATACAAAAGGAACACTGGATTCTGTGAGACGCCAAAATATAATATTGAACATTGACAATTCACATAAATTAATTGTTTAAAACACAGAAACCATACCAGGCCAGGGATTTTTTTTGTTGGAAAACATATTAGGTCAAAAATGCCACCGGATTGATCCTGTTGGATGTGCATTTCATTGGTTTCACAATTTAAAGTTGCATTCGACCGCAAATAATTGAAATACTCATAAGGTAACATGTGCTCTTCATTTAATATTCAACCCGTGCAGTGATCTTCCCAGTGAATTTCATTCGAAAGCAATTTGCTTACTAATTGAAACAGAACTCGAAGAAAGGCACAATGAATTTTCAAAGAAATAGAATCTGAAAGGCTAATTATTTTATTTTGTAATTCCTCCACTCATAGTCTCAATATTGACCACCGACCTTTCAACTCCTTACGGTTCACTGACCATTCTAACCAATGCATCTGAAAAACGCTATGACTAACCCAAAATTATTAATTCATTCGATTCTGGTACTTTAACAGGTGCTTTTCTCTACACCTCCTCATTCATCGTGCAGAATAACGTCATTTGATATATCTACAAAGGCGCTTATGTGTACTCAAAGGTCGAACCTCCTTGTTTTGCACTATGGTGGGAATAGGAGCTTTTTTTTCGTTAGCATTTCTGCCTTTTTTTCTCTTCAGAACATTTTTCTCTCAATTGCGTTATGGGAATGTGTGTGTGTGTGTGCGGTTTTTTTTTGAAGAAGATTTTGTGTTAGTCAAGGTTAAAATCTCATCATGGAAAATAGCATGTTTCTCATTCAAACAGTGTTGCTCAATTTTTGGGAGGTATACTGTATCATCTCGTTTTTTGACAGCTCTTTTCAAAATTCTAAAATTTCTCGTTCCAGGAAAAAATATGAGATTCCTTCAAGACATTATCGCTGTTTGGTTTTATCTCCTTTTGTTTTGAAGAGATCTTGGAAGTTCGATGACTCCCCCCCCCCCACTCAAAAATTCTGTGCTAAGCCGTCCTCTCTTTGCTGCTCTCTTCTCCAATTTTTTTTTTCGTCTTCTCAGCTGTCCTTCATGTCCTCGTCATTCTCTTTCTTCTCGGAAAGCTGAAGCGAATCTCTTCGCACCGCCTGGCACCAAGCGCCTGTGTGGAGAGAGTCTTCCTCTCTGACGAAGCCTGATTCTGAGCCATGCGCTGCCTGGCGCCGTTGCTTATCTCTCCGCTCTGCTGTTCTTTTTTTGCCCGTCCTCCCACCACATCCACCATCTTTTTTTCCGCTCCTCCTACTCCTACTTCTCCGAGGACGGAAAGGACGATGAGGACGATGGCGTCCCATTCATTTCATTTTCTGGTGTGCCGATGTCAGTGGGACGCACCACTCTCGTCTTCAAGCGTCCATCTCAAACATTTTTTATTGCTTTCTGTGTGGGGCTAGCACGGAGAACTCTAGAAAATTAGATTGAGCTACGTTTCTCGTTTTATTCAAAAAGAAGGGTCTAATTCCGAATTCTTGACTTTTTTTTGTAGGGCGGGTAGCTTTACCCAAGAAACCTGATAAAATTAACTATTTTTTAAACCCCGTGCAGGTTTTGAAAAAATATTGAGCTCAGAAAGGCCGTACTGATTACTGTAACTTCTCATGTACACAGTATTCTTCCTAATAGAAACCGTCTCGATTTCTGTTAAACTTATTGAACATTTGTCAGCTGATAAGTTATTAATAAAATACCAACAATATTTTATCAGTTGAAAAGTTTTCGATGTCTTTCTGGGAAATCGAAATATTTGAACTCAAATTCAATGGTTTGGGTTGTCTTCTATCAGAGGAATTATGGTATGAATGGAACTTCATCATTTTTTCTTCTCTTCTGTTGTTTTTTTCAACATGACATCTTAGAGAAACTCAGAAAAAGGTCCTAATGAAATTCTCAGAAAAACATGTTTATGTGGTTATTCAATAGGTGTCCTACCGCCCTTGTTTTATGACAATTTTGTTTTTAAGTGCACTAATTATATGTTCTAGTATTGTTTGGGGTTGTGATTTTCGTTTTTTGTTTACAACTGAATTTGGTAATATTTTATTCAGTTTCATAGATCGGATTATTTTTCTTATCACCACCGCTATTTTCCTTTGTTTAGGTTTCTTTTTTTCTTTTTGAGTTCCTGTTATTGCCATCGTGATAATGAGATTTTTCGTGCCTCATGTATTCTTCCTATGACAACCCAAATTTCTATATTACAGTAGTCCATCTAATAGAAGCCAACATTTTATATTCAGTTTGAGCTCACTCATCTTGGTTACTTTGAGAGATAGTGAAAATTTGCTAACTAATCAAATATTATTGATATTGTGATAAACAAATCATCAGTTGGCAAAATTTTGATATCTTCTACGGAAACCGAGATAATGAAGCACAAAGTTGACAGTTTAGGTAGGCTTCTTTTACAGCAAAAACGGTATGTGTGAATTTGCTTGCTTATTTCGGAAACCGAGCTTTTGACAATAGCTCAACGTACAAATTATTTGTTCTGAAGTCATCTCAAGCAACTATTATAGAAAATTTCACTCGCGTTTTTTCCAGTTCAAAAGACTACGGTAGCCCTTAAACTCCACCCTTTGTAATCTGCTCTTCTAGACAACTACAATATAATCGCTTTAATCTCTTGAGACTTTCTTTTTTGTATTGAGCTCTTTCAGCACATACTTAAATTACAGTAGGAATTATTTGCCCCGCCCTTTTTTTACTTATTGCCTTCTCGAGTTTCTTTGGACTTCCTGTTTTGGTCGACTTGTTAATAACGAAAAACAGAAGGCATCTGAAAAACTTTTACGCATTTTACGTTGTTTTGGTTTTATCAGAAATGATGACTCCACCTGTCTTTTCCGCCTCCAGTTATACCAAGCAGCTTCCGTCTCTTGTCCTCTTATTATTCTTTTTTTCCAAACTGTTTCTTTCAGCCTCTCAGAATGGAGCTGGCAGACATGGATATTGTCAACTTCATCCAAAACATCCCATTCTTCCCAGGAGCTAACGATCGTGTCAGCAACGAGATCTACCGGATGAAAGTCGACATGGATCGTGTTCTCTCGACCTGGACCGTCGAGCAGCTTCGAGGCGTCTTTGCTGGTCTTCACGGTCACAGATACTACGCTGAGCAGCTGGAAGGCTGGTGTCTTGAGGAAATATGCCTGAATGCATTGAGAGTTGGAGGCCTGACTTTCTTGACGGATGCCATCTATCTCACTAATTTCGACTTGGCGGAGCGTTTGAGACACGCTAAGTTGAATGTGTTCCCTTATCTTGTTTCTCGGGAAAAGTTCTTTTGTCAAAAAAGCAAGACCAATCGATTGGCTCAGCAGGTGGCATCTCCAAACGACGCTGGAGTTTTCGATCTTCTCCGTCTTCCAACTGAGCTGATTGAGCAAATTATGAAACGAGTGAGTTTTGATCAAGAAAAGTTCAGCTTATTTTTGACTTTAAGTTAGAGGCTCTTTTTGTATCAAAGTGTATACCAAAGTGCAGAAATTAAAAACCACAATCTGATTTCTCCATACAAAGATTTTCAGTCTCCATACAAAGATGTTCAAAGTCTGGCGGTCAGTTGTAGTGCTACCAACACCATCTACCGGAGTAACAGCCTCAAGATGCTTCTCCCAGACATTGTAATGGTACTTGATTTCTCCAGCGGTGAGCTGACTACCCGATGGTGGTTAGCATCTGATAGGAAGAGATCTATTGGCAAACTCGACATGATGGACAAGGATAATGAGCATAAGAAAAACCAACTTCTCAATAACACCACTCTTCTCTATGTGGTCACTTCAGATGACTTTGAGCCAGAATACTGTGATGAAGTTCGCATGTTCGTGGGGAATCGCAACTTCAAAAGAGTTGTAGTCAAAGGATTGGAGTACACTGAAAACGTGAAGATGATGGTCGAGCTTTTCGAAAAGGATTCTGTTGAACTCGAGGTTAACAAATTGACAGAGGACTATGTTCCATTCCCAGATGTGAGAATTTGAGTGATCATACATATTAAGTTGAAATTCTTTCAGATCAAAACCATTTCCATCCGCGACAACCTCGACACTGTCCACAGTGAACGTTTGTTTGCTGCGAAACAGTTTATCAACATCTCCTGTGCCGTTTTGAATGTTGACTCTTTCCGGAAGGCGCTTTATGAATGGGATATTGGTCAGCGACAAATTGGTAGATGGGTCATCTTGAAGCAATTCACCATTTTCCAAACTCCATTCGGCCAGCGCCATCGTTATGTAAATGCAGGAGGAGAAAGAGGCTATTTGGAGTTTTTGAGCGAGTTGGACTGTTCACAAATGGCTCATGGAGAAATCACGGAATACGTCTATCGAACACTACCCTAATTTTTTTGTTCTTTTTCTCAATACACTTTATATATGTGCTTCTGCCTTTTATTGTCTTGATTATATCTTTTTTGCTAGTTCCAATTCCGATTCCTTCCCAGTTTCTGTGAAATTATTGTATTTCTTCTAATAGAAGCCCGCCCAAATCGTCAACTTAAAGCGCATATCTCGGTTCTCGGTTCCTATGAGAGTTATCAAAAATCTGCCAACTGATAAAATGTTGGTTATTTATAATGAATAATTTATCAGTTGACAACTTCTTGATATCTTTGATGGGAATCGAGATAATTAGGCTGAAAGTTAAGTTTTTCTGCGGGGTTCAATTAGCGGAAATACGGTAACTTGTTTTTTTCTGTATACAACAATTATAGAACCCCTATGTACAATTTTAACACAATTCTACAAAAAATTCTGTTTTTCCCAACCCAAACAAGCCTTTTTAGACTGTTTTATGCACGTTTTTTCCCGACTTGCATGTTTTTTCCAACATTTCTTTCCATTTGAAATCATTTCATAGTTTTCTTCATTTACCGATCTTTTCATTCTGCCCCATTCTCCGAATTTTTCAATCTGTCCTTTCCCCGGTAGTCATTCTAACGTCTCTAATTCTTCTTCTATTCCTATCTGCATCTCATTCGACATAAATCAAATCGTTTTTCTGAAAAAATATTTTTGTCTCTATAAAAAATTATTTCGTCTTGGTTCACGAAAAAAAGTGCTTTTGGAACTATAAATCGCGGAAACTAGACAGATTATACAGCAGAGGCAGGAATTATGAAAGTGCATGACTAGTCCGACCAACGTCTATATTCAATTCCCTTTGAAAAGTTAGAGGAAGGGACGAATCGGATATGTACGCTTTCAAATTCAAATATTCAAGGAGAAACAGCTAAATGAACTGATAAAAATACACCGAGAACAGCTGAAAATGCGTAGAATTGGGTGGTTGGGGGTATCAAGTGGTTGCAAATCCGAACTAAAGATTCAAACTATGTGATTTAATCCAACATTCCCATTGAGTTTAGCTTTTTCGCAGAAAATAATGTTTTTTTCTGTGAACATCACTGAAATAGCGCTCGTTAAAGAATAAACGCAAAGCGTCGCACATCATTTTGCAATGTTGCCGCCAGTGTGTGCTATTGGTACGGTTTCGAAAAATTTACCGATAAATTTACCGGTAACTTACGTGTCGTTTACCGGTAAAATTACCGGTAGAGTTACCGGTATATTTACCGAAAACTACCGGTAATTTTCAGGAAAATTTTCTGTTTTTTTTTTCAAAATTTGTAACCGCGACGATTTAGAACCTCGAAGTTTTAGAACCGCGACATTTTAAAACCGCGAAGTTTGAGAACCTCGACATTTCAGAACTGCGAAGTTATAGAACCGCGACGTTTCAGAACTGCGACATTTTAAAACCGCGTCACTTTGAAACCGCGACATTTTAGAACCGCGACGTTTCAAAACCGCAACATTTTAGAACCGCGACATTTTAAAACTGCGACATTTCAGGACTGCGACGTTTTAGAACTGACCATTTCAGAACTCTTGCAAAACTGTCAAAAAACTAGTGAAATAGCAGAAAAAAACATTCGTGTAGTCCTCGAGGAAAATAAACATTTTACCGGTAGCTTTCAAATTTACCGGCAGGTTACCGGTAAATTATTTGTAAAACCACCAAAAAGCCGTTACAGGTAAGTGAAAATCGGAAGTCACACACTGGTTGCCGCACACATCCTCTTTTTCCGTCTTCATTTTTTCCAGTAAGAGCGGGGAGCCTTTGTCTTCTCTTCTGCGCAACTGCTCCCGCGCGAAGACCACATATCGACTTTTCGATATCTGGAGTTTGTGTGCTTCCTGTCGTTGAATCTATTTTGAATTTTATATAGCTAAATTTTTATTTTTTTAGATCCTGCCTTTCGTCACTCGTCTACTCCACTTCAATCTATAAGCGTCTTCTAGCCAAATACAAAACTGTGGATATAATTTTCTTCGACTTCCAGAAAGCGTTTGACAAAGTTCCTCATTCTCTGCTACTTGAAAAGCTTGTCTCCTTTGGGATTCCCACACCATTCTGCAGATGGTTCAAAGACTTCCTATCCAACCGGACCTTCTCGATAAAAGTAAACTCTCACATTGATCCCACTCGTCTCATCATTCCATCCGGTGTTCCCCAAGGATCGGTTTCCGGTCCATTATTATTCCTAATTTTTCTCAATGACCTGCTTTTTTTGCTACCTCTATCCATCCACTTTTCGGTCTTCGCCGATGACATTAACATTTTTCATAATTCTGCTCCTATCATTCAAAAATCCATTGACATCATTTATACGTGGTCCGTTAAGAATTCTCTCCCTCTTGCCACTTCTAAAACATCACTTCTTCAATTAGGCTCTCTAAATCACCATCATAATAATACCATAGACGGCTCTTCTATTCTCCCGTCCTCCCAAGTCAGAGATCTTGGCCTCACCACCGACCCGCTTCTTAAATTTGAACAACACATTCTCAAGAAAATCGCCCTTGCCATGCTCCGATCTCACCAACTACTTAGAACTTTCCGCTCCAACAATCCGCTATTCTACGCTGCGCTTTTTAAAACTTATGTATTACCGATCATCGAATACTGCTCTGCCGTCTACTCTCCACCCCCTTCTTCCAAGCTTTCTCTTAAATTAGAACGACCTCTCCGACACTTCTCCAAAATATTCCTTCTAAAGATGTAACATCCCCTTCTCCTCCTATGAAAATCTTCTCAAAATCATAAACATGTTCTCCATCCGCCATCGTCGTCTCAAATCTCAGCTTTTTTTTTACTTTATAAATTACTTAGCGGTGCCTCTTATTTTCCCAATCTAGAATCTCGTGTCTCCATTTCCTCCTCGGCCCGTCACCCCATGTTACTTATATGCCACCACCCCAAAATCAACGACTATTTTGCCCAAACGATTCCGGTTTGGAACGCTATTGTAAGGAACTGCCACACTTTTTTGCCTCCCTCAAAATTCTTATCACTTCTTGAGATCTCGATTACCCGTTTCTGACTTGCCCTCATCCCTGTTATCTTGACACTATTTCTCTTTCCCTTCCCCAAACTCTTGCGGGTTAGTCCTTCTTAGCTTCGTTTTATCATTTTCTTTTCCCGGTTCCCATCAATCTTTATTATCTTCAAATCTTCGAATAAACGAATATAAATAAAAACGTCATTAGACATTCAAGTCAATTTCAATGGAAATTTTACCAATTTCCAAGTTCAACATGGATTGAAGACGCTCATCCCAGACACAAACATCACTTTTACGGTCACTGGATTCTCGACACCACCAGCTCCAGTTCACAGTGCAAATTTTACCAAGCGATGGCCCATGGACGGATTGGAACAACAATTCGGCTATACATACACTCCTGTCTCGCAGGCCGGAGCGCCGACCCGTGGAATGGTCGGAGAGTTTCAATGTGCTACTTACAAGGACGCTGTCAATTGATGCGCTTCCAACACCATGGACCAGCTCAATTGGAGGTCCCATCGCCGGAGGAGATGCGCTTCCAAAAGCATGGTCCAGCTCAATTGGAGGTCCCATCGCCGGAGGAGATGCGTTTCCAAAACCATGGTCCAGCTCAATCGGAGGTCCCATCGCCGGAGGAGATGCGCTTCCAACACCATGGACCAGCTCAATTGGAGGTCCCATCGCCGGACGAGATGCGCTTCCAAAACCATGGTCCAGCTCAATTGGAGGTCCCATCGCCGGAGGAGATGCGCTTCCAACACCATGGACCAGCTCAATTGGAGGTCCCATCGCCGGAGGAGATGCGCTTCCAAAAGCATGGTCCAGCTCAATTGGAGGTCCCATCGCCGGACGAGATGCGCTTCCAAAACCATGGTCCAGCTCAATTGGAGGTCCCATCGCCGGAGGAGATGCGCTTGAGATAATTTTGTAAAACGATTTGTTTAAGATTTAAATAAATCTGTTATTCAGAAAGTTTTGGATGTGTTATTTTACAAAAAGTGGTAATGACATATTTTCTACTTCAAAAGGTGAGAAATCCTTCTCTCAGATTGATCTGGCCGCAGCATTTTTTTTCAGATTGAACTTGATGAGCAATACGCGTACAAAGGATTATATCGGTACAATCGTCCACCATTCGGAGTCCAATCAGCTTCAGGATCGTCTCAGCAAGTATTCGATTCGATGATTACTGGTTATTGCTAGGATTCATTCTATTCTACGAATCATTTATCAAGAAGTCGTTCAAGCTTCTCTCATCGTTGGATGCCCTCACCAAGAAGGATGCCAAGTTCCAGTGGGCTGCTCAATGTCAACCATCATTTGATCGCGTCGAGTAAGTCTCTCGTCCCGCTTTGCTCATGATCTCGCATTGTTTTTTTCAGATTGTTCCGAGAAGACAATTCACTACATCAGCAAGACCCTCCCGTCTCCTCGAACGAACTATTTACAGTCAGATTGAGAAAAACGCATTTGATCAGTGCTGTCAGAAAATCAAACAAATTCCTCTATGGTTGTCATTTCACGTTGAAGATGCACCACAAACCATTGCTCTCAATTTTTGGAGATAAAAAAGTATCTTTTTTGCAGCGCGAACCGTCTTCAGCGTTGGCCAATATTCCTTCTCAACTACGACTTCTTCACTAAGTTCATCAGCACTCATAATTTTTGATTGTTGCTCTATCATGACTAATTCCTGATCAAATCCAGCAGAAGTAGATTTTTCTCTTCCGTATTTTTTTCCGAAAAAAGAGAGAAAGAGCTCAGTTTTAATGTCAAAAAGTGAAAAGAGGCGTATTTCAGCTTTCAGATGATATATGTCACCACCCGTATCGCCACACCCGAGTTGGGGTCTTCCCTAGTTAGTCTGAAGAAAACTTAGAGAGTCAAATGATTGAACAGTAGCCCAACGCAAAAAAAAAAAAATAAAAGAAAAAAACGTAATAAGATTCGTAAATCCGGCGGATACTCCCACTGATCACTTTTTTGTAGTTTTTTTTTGTTTTTCAAAGTATGAATATTGTTTGTATCATCCGCTGACTAAAATTTTCAGAGTTTTAACCAACGATTCTCCTTTTTATCAGCAAAAAACCTCAGCTTCAGATTGTGAAAACCGTAACAAATGGTCCCAAAAATTGAAGCCTGAAATGAAACTCCGACCCAAAGTTTTCGGAGAATTGCTTCTTTTGTTCGATTTTTTTGGATTTAGTTTTAGTAACAGAAACCCCAAAAGTTCAGCAAAAATTTGAAACACCCTGAAATTCCAATGTTCCGATTTTTAAAAGTTCAAAATTTCCAACGATTCGATTTTATTTTTTGCGGTTTTTACAACCTGAAGGTGAGATTTTTTGCTCAAATATATATTAAAAAAATTTGAAGCGGTTTGGAACACTTGCTCTTGAGATGTGCTCACTGGAGCATAAAAGATAAGGTTCTGGAGTTTGGCTATAACTCGGCTCCAAATGATCCAAAATTCTTCAAATTGTAAGAGAATGTGTGTCTCAAATTGTTCTACGGTATACATGCAAAACTTTGTATTTTGGGATCAAAAATTTTTCATAATTTTTTCATTTTTATGTACCAAAAATGGGAAACACTTAAAAATTTACTGCATCTTGTTTTTAGCGGGTCAATTACGTTCTTGACGGGTCAAAGTATTACGAAATTCGGAATTTGGATCATTTGAGCCGAGTTATAGCCAAACTTCTAAACCATACCTTTTATGTTCCAGTGAGCACACCTCAAGAGCAAGTGTTCCAAACCGCTCCATTTTTTTTTAAATTTTAACCTACACCAAACATTTTTCATCACGAAGCCAATCTTTTAAAAAATTCTGTCAGAAAATTTTTTTTCTATCGGAGTCATCGTCACGTCTGCGAAGATTCAGAAGACATAAAAATTGATTGAGTTTCAGAAACATTATATAAGGTTTGTTGGAAATCCAGCATGCAAAACAGGAAAAAAAAGTTTTCGATTATTGGACAAGTTCGAGCAAAGTTATGAACAAAAATATAGTGACACTCAGTATATAGGAATGTCACATTTCAATCCCCGGAAATTTCGAAACCAAAGGAAACTTTCACTCGTCGTTTAATACCAAAGTTCGACATCGCAAAAAATGCGTTTCATTTCATCTGTGTTGCGATTCTGTCTGTCGACAGATTCAATTTTCTGTCTGTAGTTCATTTTAAACCCCGTCAAATCATAATATTAATTTATTCCTGTTTTCAATATGCTGCCAATCAATGAAAGATTCTTGCTCCATTCCAATTCTTAACTCTGTGGATACCCCCATTATTGTTTTTTTTTTTGCTGAACTTTTTCTCCGATCGAATTCGCGTTAGTCTTTCCACTTTCTCTGATATTTCTCTGCTTTCATTTGTGTCCAGCTGCATTATGACTGCTAATTTGATTATTTTGAAAAATTACCAACCTCGATGATCGATTCCTTGTGTTGATTTCGAAGACTATTGTGATTTCAATTATGGAACATAAGAAAAAATTGCGGAAACAAATAAATATATAAATTCCACGGACCGTTTTGGTACCAAAATGACAAGAAAATTACCGCAGGATTTGAAAACCTACTATAATTCAACAATTCTCTATAATGTTTTCAGTTTTCCACAAAAACTATTTTTCTCTCATGAAAAATATCGCAAAACAGAAGAAATAGCACTGGTTAGACAAAAAGCAAGGCCTCGCATGCCATTACGCTACACTGCCGCACACTTCCCCTCTTTTCTGTCTCTTCCTTTAGTACACTAATGAGATGACCCTAGTGGACGGTTTTCCTCCTCTTCTCGGCACACTGGACCCCTTCAGCCATTGCCCCACACAACGGTTTATCGATTTTTGATTCTCTCTCTAGCATTTATGTCTCGTTTCGGTGAATTGCATCTAAACTTGTTTGTATCGAGGTGTTATAAAACGCCACAGGTAACACACATGAACATTTACCGTTGCTATTTTGCGGAAACACAACTGGTCTGTGACTACTAAACACTCTTTCAGCGGTTAACATACAAAATGTTGCGAGCACCGGCAGCAGAGTCGAATAAGGATGTGATTCTGGAAGTTTTGCGGAGATTTGCTACATCTGGCAAGAAAGTGAGTTGTTTTTTTAAATGAAAATTTACCGTAAAAACTCTAATTTAATACCATGGCGTTCTATTTTTCAATGCACAGCTGGGAGAACGTTCTATGAGAGTGTGGCATTCAATTAGAGGCTGGCATTCTATTATTTGACACCAAAAAAATGCCGAAAAAATTTGTGAAGATTCTTTTAGGATCTTACCAAAAAAATGTATGAAAAAGCTTGGCGATTCTTCGAAACTGCAACAATTCAAAACCGGTCATTTCAAATCCGTGGTCATACAGGCGAATAAACAAATTTCAAACTATCGACACAGTCTTATTGTTTTTAAATATACTTTTTCTGATAGAACACATTCTGTAAATCGGAAAATTCAGAAAAAAAATGTGATAAAAAAAGATAAATACTTTCTAATTTCAGAATTTGTTCGATCAGAAAAAAATATTTTAAAACTCTACTATTGTTTTTGCAGTCTGAAATATATCCGTTCTCCTGTATTACCGCGGTTTTAAAACGACTGGTATCGAAATGAATGGTTTCGAAATGTCGCAGTTTCGAAGTATGGAATAAAAACCAAGGTGTGTGATAAGAGAAAACATTGTGTACTGTACACTGTCTCAACCCTCTTTAAAAAGCAACAAATTGATAATCTGGTGCATTGTAAATTGTTTTTCGATGAGACCTATCAGGGGTGGCATTCAACTGGAGGGTGGCGTTCTATTTTTTGGAGCACAGCTCAGAGGAGGTTCTATTAGAGGATGGCGTTCAATTAGAAGGGGCTATTTATTAGAGTGTTTACGGTATTTTTGAAAAACTTTCGATTGACCTGCGACCAGTTCCGCGCTACGCCCGAGCAACTTTCAACAAAGCTAAAAACAGCGTTTTACTGAGTTCCGCCTTGAACTTGCCAGCGGAGTAGTTCAATTTCTGACCTAAATCTGATCAATTTTCGACCTGAAACCGGTGCTTTTCCACGTGCAACTTAAAGCTGGCTCAGAACCATCCAAAAGCCAAACACCTTTCAATTTCCAACCAGAAATTACAAGCCAGAAGTCATCAATAACACCGCCGATTGTTGAAAAGCGTATTTTGAGAGCTCAATAAGCCTTTGATCCTTTTTTTCCTAAGCTTTCCGAGATAACTCTTTTGATTTTCTCTACAAGAGGGAACGAATTTGTCAAAACTTTGCGAAAAATGCCGCAGTTCCAAATCAAACAAATGAAAACTCTGAAAACCGGCAAAAAGAAACGACATTCTATGAACAAAGTTTTTCACGACTGCTTGGGATCACGAGAATAGCAAAAAATAAAATATGATTCAAAAATACTGATGTTACAGGTCTTCGAGATTGCTTCTGGAACGGGCCAGCACACCGCACACTTTGCCGCAGCACTGAAAGATGTGGTTTTCCAGCCAACAGAAGTCGACAGCAGATCTATTCACAGCATCGTAGGATATTTGGATCATTTTCAGGTGAGTCATTCAATTTTGTGGTTGTCAGGAATACTGTATTCTAAAATTAAAACTTCGTTTTCAGTTCAAAAATGTGAGAATCCCTCTATTCATCGACGTGGCAAAAAGTTTTGATCAGTGGGCACTCCCTGCTGACTTTGGACCCCATATGGTCAGTAAAGCCACGTGAAGTTTGGAAATCAGAGATTGATTGTTTGATTATAGGTCGATATTGTCCTGAACATCAACATGTTGCACATCTGCTCAACTGCAGCTGTTTATGGTCTATTTCAGGTGGGTAGAATGTGGCAGTTAAACTATAACAATTCTCAAAGCATGCAAAACAATAGAAAATGGTGAACTTCCGTTTGAATAGCGCACAGTTGACTTTATCCACTCATTTGCAATAAGCAATAAATTTGTTCCAGTCTGCCGATCAACTGCTACATGAATCCAGTGGAATCCTCATGACATACGGACCATACTGTGTGGATGGACACATTTCACCCCAATCCAATATGGCTTTTCATACGAACCTGAAATATCAGAATTCGGAATATGGACTGAAGGATATCAAATATCTGGAACGTGTAAGTAGTATTGTTTGGAAAAATTTTAGAGCATGTCCCCCCGATTTTAAGCAAAAGTTTTCTAGACTTCGCTCTTTTTTTCTGAAAGCTGACCACGGTGCGCTCAAAACCGTACAATCTTCGCCCACACGATGACAGCCGCTGCCAATATAAAAATTGGTAAAAAGTCTCTAAACTTATAAATTATTTTTTCAGCTCGCCAATCGAAACAACCTGCGACTTGCTGAGAAAATTCCCGCCCCCAAGAACAACTTCATCCTTATCTTCTCCCGTTGAGGATTATCATGTAAAACAACCAATGAGTGCAAGAAATGCACATTTTTCTTTCTTTTTACTAATTTTGATATCTATTTTCTAATTTTTTGAAAATAATCCCAATGTGATTCAACAGGCTGTGAAATCCCTTTTATTATTTTAAACTGAAATAGTTCACCATCTTTTTTTTCTCTGTATATGGCAATGTTAATTGATTCTTAAATTAACACTACTTCGTCTAGATATATGCAAACGCTTGCCCTTTTTCGTTGTATATACATATTATTGTCTCGTTTCCATTTCCCTGGTGTCGCCTATTGTTTTTGAGTCACCCTCGTGCTTCTATACATTCCTACTTACATATCGTCTTCGGTTCGATTTTTTATAAAATGAAATTTTGCTCCTTAATGTTTTTGACATGATTTGCAGCATGTTTCTAATGTTCTTGAGAGCAGAAAGCTCAGAAATTGTAAGGAAAACAATTCAATGAAAAAATGTTCCGATTGGCCATTATATGTAAAAATGGTCAATTAAATAAGCACTTCTTTAAGATTTTAAAAGATACATTGCCTGTTAGGCGATTTCAAGCGCTTCAAACTACTGTCTGGAGCGCCTATGACGTGATTCCGTTACTCCTCTCCTCTTTTTCTTTCACACTAATTTGAAGACTGATTTTGATCGCTAAAAATTAGATGCAAAGCTTCAAATTGTGCTCAAGACCTACGAAATTTATAGATGGTCAAATTTGATCTGACAGATTTTTCCCTCTGGGAAAATGGTATGACGCACAGGAAAAGAACACAGAGACTTCTTCATTCATTTATCATAAGTGTGGTGTGATGATACTTTACTATTTTGTTATCAATCAATTGTGTTTCCATGGTGCATTATTTTCGAAATTTTAGAATTTTTTTCTTCTTTACAAGATATTGTACCAAAAAGATATTGTACCAAAAAAATTGTTGGCTATAGAAATATTGCTGGAATTTTCAGACCTAAGTTTTGTCAGAATTCTAAATTAACAATATTTTCGGTTGTTTGTTTTTGGCGAATGATCTAGAATTTGTTCCGAAACATTTTTGAAATTCTTTGTTCAATCACATTTCTTGAAATTTTCCCAGAAACTAATTATTCTCATATCCTCCTTGTTTTGAATTGTTTTCCAATTGATGTCCTTGTTGTTACAAATAACGGCTCCCATTAGAGGAAATACGGTAATTAGAAACTGTCGAGTACCATCATACCAAACTCTGTTCTAATTTCCAAAAATTAAGTTCAGTCTAGTTTCCCTCTTTTTTGTCTGTTTCACATTTAGTTTATCCGAACTTTAATCTGTTTATTCAATCCAATACTTTCTCCCAAACTTTTTTTTCTTGGTTCCCACATTTTTTATAAATTTTTCAATTTTGTTTTTAATAATCCCTTGTGACTTTCAGTGTTCTTTTCCAATCAGTCTGTACCACTCAACTACATAAACATATAAATCTTCATACCTAAATTATATACAGCTGACGATTCTTTTTTCTCGGTATTTTTTCTTCTGTCCGTGTGTCGACACATGACTCTGAAAACATTCTAATTCCGAATCAAAACAAGCATTTGGACTTCTTGGTGTGCCAAGAGGAAAAACATCTGCCCCGGGAGCTCAGAAGCCGAGTTTAACAGAAGGAAATCATTCCTATTTTTCCTGAATCGTCACAAATCATTGTTATTCTTATTCATTCTAATCGACGGCAATTATCATGAGCACCTTTGATATTGGAGATGGTAAGTTGAAACAAAAAAAAACGCAATTTTGAAAGAATTGGTTTAGAACTAAAAATGATTTGTAAAATTTTAGAATGTGGCGTCTGATGCTGCATCTTGATGATGATTAATTAGATAGAAGGCGTCTCATTGAAGGTAGAAACTCTAATAAGACGACATTATTCATGCCTAGACCATGGTGTTGTCCATCAGTACAATACCTCCTATGTCACAGATGTTGCACATTTTTGTGCAGATGTTTGGAGGATTTTTTCGTGAATTTTTTTGAAAGACTTCAGAGATAGCGTTGTCTTATTTTTGAAAATTTTTATTTTTCTGAATTCTCAAATAAGCAAGAAGCTATTTATTTTCCTAACTTGAGAAGTTTCAATATAAGCTTTAAAAAATTTCTTTTCAATTTTCAAATTGATTTGTATACTGTAAAACCTGTAATACTAGGGCCCTTTACTTTTATCTTTGATAAAATTTATCTTGGTTCCTGTCAAAGATATAAGAACCTTGCCAAATGATGAATTGTTTATCATAATATCACGAAAATTTTACCTATTGAAATTTTTTTGATAGCTTGCGACCAGCTATATACCCTGACCATCCCCACATCATTTTTTCTGTTTCAGTTTCATAAATAAAACCTTTAAAATTTTTTTTTAAATATCGGGTTGTGAAAATTTTCTAATTACTTAGTTCTATTAAAAACATTCCACTAATTCTTGAAATGTTGACATATTTTTTTCTAGTCTAAAATTTTTTCTTGAATATAACAGTATACAGGAGTTCAGTACATTTTCCACTCATAAGCCATTCTCAAATATATTTTTGTTGTTCCAGTTCCCTAAATTAAACCGTTTTTCAGACGCTGATTTTTTTGAATTTTTTCTCGAAATTCTCGAAATTTTTTCAAAAATTTATACGAAGATGGCCTATTTCTGACTACTTTACTTTGTTAATTTTGTTGAAAAATGTAATTGTTTTTTCTTTTTTTTTATTCAAAAAAATTTTCCAATTTTTCATTGGAAATTTTTTCAACAGTGGTAGGCTGGCCGGCCCGGGATTGGGCCGGGCCGAGAAAATCCGTCTACCGGCCCGGATCGGCCTTTTGTAACTATTTTTAAAAATTATTTTTATAGACATTCCGATTTTCTAGACATTCCGATAGTTCTCAGAATGTAAATATTATTTTGTAGTCTGAAATAACTGACACTGACTAAAAAGTTGCGTAGGAAGTTTGTCTTTTCTTTCTCGGTAAATTCTCATCGAACCCTTCATCTTCTAACCCTGTTCATATTAAAAATCTCATTATTTTCTTCATTTTTCGAATTCTTAGAATCTAACATCTGTACTATGAGTAACCATCCTCCTCAAGTTCAACGAGAACATCGGCCCCAACATTAGCCGCTCGAAGAGACAAGACTTCCTTCAACAAATGCATAGGCGGTGTACTTTTTGTGCAAGAAAAAAACGTATAGACGTTCTGTTTTACACTTTTTGATGAGAAAGGTGTCGAAGCGAAAACGAAATCAAGCATGAAGGCGGAAAGCTGAAGGGGGTTAGGATGTAAAAACAGGAATTAGTCTTGTGAGCTGTGAATTTGACAACGTTTCGACTAGAAGATGAGCTCTGACGACAATGAAGGTGAGATAGCTGTCTGTCAAAATACTTTTTTACGTTAGGCGTAGGTGTCATATTTTTTCCAAGGTCTTTTTTTCTGAAAAAGAGAGACAGTATCCAAGAGGAAAATGGACTCTGAACCCAGGCTGCTGATGTAACAAAACTCCCAGATACTTTTTTCTTTTGACTCATACAGTGGTTTTGACACCAAAAGACTCCCATGGTGTTTTTCGTGTAGGGGAAACATGTAGACTTTCCAGACAAGTCAGTTTTTTTCAGCAATTTTCCCATAATGAGAAAATGTATTAAAAACTATTCCACTGGTAACATTTTCTCTCTTTGGCCTGGCACCAACTATACCCGTCACTATATCAAAAAACGGTTCTCAGGAAAGTCCGAGAGTTCAAAATTAAACTATATAAAGATGAGATTAATACTGAAAAATGTAGATTCCAGTTTCAAAAACTGCTAAGTTTGTAAGTACTGTTGTCCAACGGATTACCATTGGATTTTCAAAGTATTTCAGGTGAATTGAAGTTGTGTGTTACGACGTGTAGCTACGTTTCACAATTAGCATTTTTTGAAGATAAAAACCTAGTTTTGTAGGACAACAAACATCATAGTTTTTTTTCGGTTTATCTGAAAAATATACGCTGATTTGGTGTTCAAAGAGTATTTTAATTACTAAACAAAAACTATCGTAAACTCTCCAATAGAATGTCTCCCGAACCGTCAACTTTGAACCCCGATATCTCATTTCCTGCAATATATATTAATAATTGGTCAACTGTTGAAATGTTTGTCTCAACAGCAATAATATTTCGTCAGTTGAACATTTTTTCATATCATTCGCAGCTAACGAAACAATTTGGCTCAAAGTTTCAAGTGAAGGGTATTCTATTACAGTGTGGCTTTTAATTATTGACACCGATTCAAGCCTTCATAACTCTTTTAAAACTCGATGAAAAACTTCGAAATTTTGAATTCAAAAATTTCAGACACACAAAATTTATATTAATGCAACCCTTTTTGAATTCACTTCTTTTCACTAAAATGACAGCCGCCAGAGGCTTCGGAAAGGAGACTACGGCGGCGCGGTGGTAGTTTTAACCTATAGCCCGTGCCCATATCTTCTGAAGGGAGGTCTTTAGCCCGTGCCCATATCTTTTGAAGGGGGGTCATCAGGGATTCGAAATTTCGTATTTTCATGAAGAAGCTGTCTGGGTCCAATATGCTGAGACTGAATAATTTATTGGATTCGAGACTGATGAGAAAACGATCAATTCTTGTGCCTAGTTCAACTCCGGAAATTTGAGTTTGAACCACCCTTAGGTGTCATTGGCACTGCAAACCGTGGCTGAAGCTTGTCGGAACACCCGATATTAAATTTTCGAGTAGGATTCAGGCTAAGGCAGCATCTTGATCAGTTAAATAGGATTGATAATTGATTTTGGTTTGGAATTTGAGGAAAACAAGGGATTTTTCGCAATTTCCAGTGTTCCCATCAAAGATCCTCACTGAATCGGAATGCAAAGTTCTATATGGGTTTTTCACTTATTGGCAGACATACATTATATATTTGAATATAAATTTGTAATTCAGACCGATTTTGTCAGCTTTGACTATAAAAATTATCACTCGAAAGTGGTGTCCTCGTGCGAGTGTTAGGCGCGTGCCGCTTAGACAGTTCCGGTGCTATTGGAGTCTCAACTCTTTGTTCTAACTTTTCCAAACAGTTAATTTAGTAATTTTAGAAGCGCTTAAAGCCGTTCTTTATTGAAAATCATTTTCATCAAGCGTCGAGCCATTTTGAAGTAAGCAGCGAGCTTTCTGTGAATCTAGTCTAAATTTCAAAAAATCCTCTTTTTCCCGGCTAGGGCGGTCGTAACTGATGTCACAGACACTCAAAAAGCAGGGATTAGATAACCCACGCTAGTGTGAATGAGAAAAAAATTAATTGGCGGTACGATCAACCAACATGCGGTCCAGACGGACTGTTTCTGTAACATCACTCAGGAGGCTACCTTCAATTGAACCGTTGATGACGAGAAGAGGGGTTGGAAAATGAGCCGTCATTTCCTTCAGACACAAAGCAATGTCATGAAATTTGGCAGGAATATTGAAACTGAGTAGAGGAACGAGATAAATATAAAACAATCTGAATTAGTGCGTTGGTGTGCCCCATACCTAGCTCGCAAGTTAGGTGTCAATAATTAAAAGCCACATTGTAAAGTGTTTAAGGCCAGTGTTGTAGGGTTGGTTGCAGTGGACCAATCAGTTCGTTTTTCCGCTTTTTTCGATCTCAGAAGTCATTAGGGTGGCTAAGTCGCGCTTTCTTACCTTTTCCAGAAGTACCATAGTCGAAACGCCAGGATATTCCGATTTCAAAAAATTCGGAATTTTTTAAAGCAAAGTCGGAATTCTATTTTCGAGACCCGCGCGCAAATTTTTCTCGTGCGCTTTCGACGTACCGCAGTCTGAAAACTCTAATTCCGAAAAAAAAGCTTCAGAAATATTACGATCGGAATCGAATCCCAAAAAAGCTCTGGAAACTCATTCCGAAAATGGTTGGAATTTAGGGAATTTTCGAATTCCGATTTTTGTTCCAAACATCCCTGAACTGGCCGTCGCACAACCTAAATGATGACCACTAGGAGACGAGGCATCTCGTCGTGTCAACTTTCAGCTTATTAATCTTGTTTTCTGACAAAAATACCAAAAAGTGCTCAACTGACAAAACGGCTATCATAATATCAAAAACATTTTGACAATCGATCACTTTTTGATATCTCAAACAGGGAACAAGATAAATTTATTTTAAATTGACAAGCAGCATTCTATCGAGTTGTTACGGTATACTTCCGGTTTTGTGGCCAATCGAAAATACTTAAATGACGTTCAGTTCTCAGAGTTGCAAAGGCTTTCTACTAGAGCGCTCACTGTACTTTTAAGGTTCCGCGGTCCATCGAAAATAATTGAATATGAAAAAACTTCTGGAATTTCAAATGACGTTTCATCCAATTTTCAAACACATGTTCCCATCTATATCCTTCTTGTTCTTGCAAATGACCTTTGTCCAAATTACGTCGATTGTTATGCTATGCTCACTTTGGGCATCTTCCTCCAAATATTTCACCTGCTTTCCATGAGTGAACTTAGCGAAATCACATTACCAGCCTTCAGATTTTGTTTATCAATCATAATGTGCTATTCTATTCTAAAAATGTAGCCTGAGCTAGACGGCTTGATTGCTTGTTTGTTGCTTAAATTGATTGCTCTCTAATATCTATCTATCAGCCATTGTTAGTTCCAACCTCATAGAAGGATATAGCCATAAATTATGCCTAATTACTATTGTCTGATGATCAGACAACCACAATAACCATTGTCTAACTTTTCAGTTGTTGTTTTGTTCATTTGTCAAATATCAGGAAGAAAAATTTCCATTGAAAAACACCTTGCCTCGTGTTAATATGATTTTTAGCAAAAAAATCTGGATTTTATCTTGTAAAAATACAGTATGCGCCAATCTTGGTTTTTTGATCGGTCTATGATATTGGCTATAAAAATGCTGTTTAGACTTTTCGGGGCATTTTTTGATAAGAATAACTAGATTCTCGAGAAAAATCCCGGAGTGCATAGCATACCTCCGCGCTACATTTCCACGCCACCATCATAGATCATTATGATCCCACAGATGAATGAAACATGTTCCCAGTTAGTCACAAGGCGTCAAGAACTTTTTGCTCGAGATATGTTTTCCAAAAAACGTGTGAGAAAGATCAATCTTTTTTGATCAGTCAGTCTTCCAGAATAACCCGAATCTATCAATTCCATGTATTGAGCTCCTTGTTATTGATATTCTAATAACACTTCGCAACACAAGTATATACACAATACATTCCATTTTTGACACCTGGAGCAGAGGTACGTATCTGAAAATAATCATGTTTCAATCCAAACATAAGGGGTAGCAATTTAACTTAATGTTGCGACGGGGGGATACATGACTTTTTAGAAATCATTTAGGTTTAGACTAGAGATCCTATGGAATGTGTTTATTGGGGGATTTGTTATTGGCTTTTACTATTTTAGATAATCTAACTTCCACCTTTGTATGGTAGAATCAATTGACGCCTAACCAATTTTTTTTGTTTTTAGTTCATAGCTTTTTACTATAAGAGAACAATTAAGAAAGTACTAACCCAATGCGTTACCTCCTAGTAGTTGGATTTTTCCAAAAGAACAAAAACTTTGTAATGCTGATGACTCTCTGTTTATATCCCAATCTAATTAAGATTCTTTATCACTCATTTGCTCCTCAACTACCGTAGTTTTTTTTTAAATATATATATACTATGGTTTTGTGTTTTAATCTCTAGAAACCAAAACATGGTAACAACATGTAATTTAAAATTTGTGATTCTTGAAATGTGGTAAACATTTCATTACACTGTCTGTACTTCTAGAGGTTTCTAATAACAACTTATTCGACATTTTATAATTGGTTTGTCCTTATTTCGTATTGTTCCATAGAAGATATACGTGCTGATGTCTTAGTTCATTGTTCTATTTTTTTTAAATCTTTTCGTTGGAAATTCTTAACTTAATTGTCTGAAAATCTGCCCTGTACTTGGCCCTTTGGTCTATTTATTTCAGTTTTTATAGGAAAAAAATTGATCTTCATTTTTGTAGATTTGTTAGATTGCACGAAAAAAGTTTTATAGGGAATTTCAAAAAATCACAAAGTGAAGTTGAAATAAAAAACTGTTTCTAAAATGTTGTCAAGCGAAAAAGTTACAAGGTCTGTACGAAAATAAAACACCTACCATAATCAATCTGATAGAGTGCCCCTGAACAGTCAACTTTGAGCGCATATATCTCATTTCTCGTGAACGATATCGAAAATTGGTCAACTGACAAAATAATTATTATAAAAACAATAACATTTCGTCAGTTGACCTCTTTTTGATATTTTTTACAGGAACCGAGATAAATTGGCTCAAAGTTTGAAGACTGAAGGTCTCTCTAGCAAAGTGATTACGGTACTATTTGCGCATTTCCACTAGTTTTGAGAGAAAGGACAGCTACTAGGTTACGATTTCAAACAATCAAATTAACCATTATCAAGGTCTTAAAAAATATACGTATCTCCATCATACCATGTTTAGAATATATCCAGTTTGCTTCATACATTTCCACAAGTTCAACTCTTTAAAGGACGTATAAGAACCCCACTTTTGATAATATCTTCATGATCACGTTTTTTCAAGAGATTTAACATAAACTAGATATTTTTTCCAGAGTCCTTTCCTAGAATGAACATAATTGATTCTGACCAAAAAGGTGTTAATAAATGTGTTTTTGGATAACAATATCTCATTGTTTTCTGGTCCAGTTTTCAATTATATGGAACACGTGGAAAAGTGGCACCAAACTGGGTCCTGAAAAATATGATTTCAGATTAATAAATATATTTTTTGGGTTAACTTTCAATGGAACACGTGGAAAATTGAACAATACCAGATTCTAGTGAAATGGTATTTCTTTGACGTTGACTGTTTTGGCTTGCAGAAGCTTTCGCCCAACTCAATTTCTCTAATGCAAATTTTTGTGTTTAGAACAATTCCAAAAATAACTACATCACTTTTCTTCTGAAAAGTTTGTTTTCCTGGCTTAACTTATAATTAGTTCTCTCTCTCTCTCTCTCTCTTCCATACGTGACTACCCTTTAAACATTTCCTCCGATTTCTCCTCTTTATTTTCGCGATTATACAAATTTCTTGAATCTTGTGATTCTTTTTAGACGTTGACTGGTTAGCAAGTGAGTTTTCAAACGATTTAACGTTTTTCTGGACTACCATCTGTTAATGGAAAACGAAACAGAAACAGTGACTAGCCGTTACACAGACCCAGGTGAGATTTAGAGCTAGTCAAAGTGCATTTCTGGAAATAATTGGAAATAATCTAGGTCAAACTCACGTTTCTCTGATTAGATTACAAGGATTGTATATCAACGGCTGGTGTTTTGAAAACATTATCCTTCTTTTTTTTAGCTATGGAAGGTTGTGAGGACCGCGGACAGCTCTACTACCACCCAGTTTATCTCTTTGCTGTTATCTTCCAAGGAACATCCGGCTATTTGACATTTCCTATGCTGGCTATCATTCTCAAGAAGTATGCTTTCAAAGTTTACTACCATCCAAATCTTGTGGTATATTTTCGAACTATGGTTGTTATGATTATCATATTCTGACATTTTCAGTTCTTGATGATGTTGAATGTTGTCACTTGTCTCTTGTTGGGTGGGATCACTGCCTGGAGTGCAACCAATTTCTTCATCAATCTTATGATCAAGCCGACCCCATGCGATCTTCTCTTGAAGACTCATTTCTGTTCAAAAATCCGAGCAACATTCTTGTGAGTTTCTCTAGAAAATTGCCATGAATCCTGTAATATTAGGGCACCCTTTTTTGACTTTGACCCAATTTATTTTGTTTCTTGTCAAAGATAGGGAAAAGTTCTCTACTGTTAAATTAATTATCATAAAGTCAGAAAGTTGTCGTTAGTTAAACCAGTTAGGATGTCTTGCATAGGAATTGAGATGATGTCGCTCAAACTTGACAGTGTCAAAACTTCCATTATTACTTGCAGGTTCGCTTTCTGCCTGGTAACCACTAGCCATGCTGGAATCCTTATCGAACGTACATGGGCAACATACAGTGTAAAGCACTATGAAAAGCAAGGAAAAGCACTTGGAACAATTTTGGCTATCATAGCGGTAGGTTATTCCAGAAACAAATATTAATCAGTTTTTGGACTCTCTGACATCATTGCACTTTTTTTTGATTGATTCTGATTTTGATCTCTTGAACATTTTAGGTCGCCGTCGCTGCCACTGCAATATTCATCGTGATTCTCCCGGAAGACGGAGAAGAAATGATTACAACTTGCTTGACATTCTCGGCTTCCAAATCAATCGGATCCCGAATCTATGTCATGTTCTTTTGCCAACTTCTTCTGGACGCAGTAATCTCGATTGTGCACTTGGTTTTATATAGATATAACAAGTGAATAATATAATCAGAATGGAGGAACATGTGTTTTTTTTTCAGAAACGCCGACAAAAATGGCTCAAGTTCCTTGTCAGAGCAGTTCCAAAGAAATGAAAATGTGAAAACCTTAAAACAAGTGACACCATTGTTGATTCTCTCCAACATCACCATCGGTGTCTACATATTTATTATTTCTGTTTTCCGGTTGTATAAAGACCGACTTCCAACTAATTGGTATGAAATCATAGCCGCTAATCTTTTCGTGAGTTTTGCATCTATTTATTGCCAAAACAACCCTGGTTATTTTCAAGATAATGCCTCACATGCCATTCATGTTCACGTCCCTGATCCTCATCGAACTGCACTTGGCGAAGAAACGTCAAGCACGTGTCCATAAAGATATGATGGCTAGTCAGGATGTTCCGTTAGATGATCAGTTCCACATTGCCATTGAAAACTGGGATGTGCAATTCCAGTCGCATTTAAAGGCTCAAACCTTGGCGGCTCGCGGCAAACCAGCAACATCATCCTCATGGAGTCCATCAAAGTTCATGTCAAAGTTCAAGAAGCGTCAGAGTACGGTGGCAGTAGTTTCTCTTCCGTCAACTCCAGCTTAATTTTAATATTTATCTCTTTTTTTTGTTTACATATATTTTTGAAAGTTCTGAATGTTTTTTGTCTAATTTTTGATCCCGATGTTTCGTGTGTTTAGGTTTAAACTTTAAGGATGTCACATTGGCATTACAGTAAGGGCGGTTTATATATGTTTTGAATGAAATCCCGATTGATATTTGCCTCATTTGAAAATATTCAATTTTCTGGGTGGGTTTTGTAGTAGCGCTGACATCTTGGACTGAATTTCCTCAAAAATAATAAAGCATCAATCATTGGATAGAGAAGACGGCTCTATTGGAAATGGTGGGTCCTTTGAGAAAAGATGGATTCTTTCCGAAAAGATGGTTTTTTGTGAAGATTGGTACTTTCAGAAATGGTGAGCCTATTGAAAAAATATAGTTTTTTTTTCAATTTTGATATCTGTAATTGTATTCTTTTCCGTCCGATGAAAGGGTCGACTCTAAAAACGGCTCATATTCCTTTCAGTACCCATTTCTTTTCACAGGACGTATTTTTCTCATAGAATTCATTTTTACAGAAAGATCCATCTTTGCCACTAGAGCAAACGGGACCACGTATGCATCACAGGATAATACTAAATGTTACTCCGTTTCAACTTTTCCAAAACTTCACTGAAAAAAATGGTAGTCATTTCTCGTTACTACAGTAATCAAGAAGACAATTTTCTTTCTTTTTTCAAACTTTTTTTTTAGTTTACTGCCCACGTATTCAGAGATTACAAGTTCAATGCGTGGAGATTTTTAATCAGACAAGGAATCAAGTTGATCACATCTGTACAGCTCATAAAACCCATAAAACGTACGCCCGATTCTGCGAAAAAAACAGAGACTAGTTCCATTCGACCCCAGCTTTTTTGAGATAAACTCCCCCTTTCAGTATGTCAGAGAGTTGGTTGGACTCGAAAATGGAGAACTGTGTGAACAACAGTCTCCTTTATCACAACCCTCTCTATCTTTCTGCTATCCTCATCCAAGGCGTCTCAAGCATACTATTCTTCCCTTCCATCTTGGTTCTTCTCTGGAAACACCCGGAAGTGACATCATCTCACTTCAATCTCAAGGTGAGTAAGATGGAAAGATAACGGTTATTAGAACTCAGTAACAGTTAAAACTCATTAAAATCGAGATAATGGAAACTGGGTGAACTTCCAGAAGTGTGAATTACGTAGTTTGATGGAGTTTGAAAAATAATCTGGAACCCTCAAAACTAAAACCTCCAATTGCAGAAAGAAAAAAAAAGAAAATTGAGATCTCCAAAATTGTTAAATCTCGAAAATCTTTAAATACATACAAACTTTAACATTTACTCTCGAGAAGTTTGGAATTTTAATATTTTTCTAATTCGGGACCGTAGGTCTGATTGCTTCAGAGTCTTCACGTTCTCCTTCCGTTGGAATTTCACCATGCCATCAACACGAAAATAAAATTCCACATTCCATCTTTATTTGAATGTCGGGTGTCTTTATGACATTTTCAAAAAGACAGCAAAAAATTACCGAAGCCATGTGAGAGAACAGGTTGGACCGGGCCTTAAATATTATGGAAAAGACCTCGCCCGGTTTGTTGCAATTAACCTCAATATTGACAGTATGTACCGTCGTGATCAACAATATGTTGTCAACACTCTGGTAACTTGTGGATACCATATCTCCAAGTAACCAATAATCTGATAGAACAAAATCGGAACTTTCACGAAGGTAATGGAGAACCGTCCAGCCTAAGCGGCTCAGGTACGACGTGACTTTCCGGGAACATGCGGTTTTTTGTCATTTTTTAACGACAGTCAAGACAGACCTGAGCCGCTTCAGCGAGACGGTTCTTTCTCACCCACTTATAGTCCCGATTTGGCTTTATCAGATTATTGGTTTTTTGCGATATACAAAATCATCTGGAATGTGATGAATTTTGCATCCATTTATGAGAAAAAAACTGGCAACATGCTGAGGACCACGGCGGTGCATACTGCTAATCTTGGCTCAATCTGGTTTTTGTGTTATTTGCAGATTAGACAAGGGACAGAAAAATCCGATTTGTTCCTTCGTTGGCGTTTTTTGACTAAGTTTTTTGACGACTAATTTTTTAGATCCTCTTATACTTGAACGGATTCAGTTGTTTTGGTTTGGCTGTTATCACAGTTTGGAGCGCAATGAACTTTTTCGTTGTTTTGTTCACTCATAACAATGCCTGTGCCATGCTCATGACTACTGGTTTCTGTTCCGAGATTCGTGCTGTGTATCTGTAAGTTTCGTTGACTGTGAGCCAGAAAATAAAAACTTGCGTAATTAATGATTCAATACAAATAGATCAAATTTTCAGATTTGATTTTTGTTTGGTATCCGCAAGCCATGTCGGAATTCTCATTGAACGAACTTGGGCCACAGTTTTTGTGAAATCTTACGAGAAACAAGGAAAACGTTTGGGCATAATCTTGACGTTTGTAGCGGTCAGTAAAAAGTTCAGCAGTGTTTGATTAAACTGAGATATTTTCAGGTGATTACATCTGCTGTTGCAGTTCAAAAGGCAATTGAGAAAGAGGACATAAAGGAACTTTTGACTACATGCTTGACGTTTTCCGCTTCCAAATCCATCGGAAGTCAGATTTATGTCATGTTCTGGGTGCAACTCGTTTTGGATTCAATTGTCACTGTGTCTCATTACATGCTGTACAAGTTCAACAAGCTAGTTTTTATCAATCTGCTTTTCCTAAACTTTCATCTTTCAGACACAAGCAGCAAATGATTGTCGGCCCTCTCACGGAGCAATTCCAACGGAAGGAGAATGTTAAGACTCTGAAGCAAATCACCCCATTGCTGATTCTCTCAAATATCACAATTGTGGTGTACATCCTTGTCATTTCCGTTCTCCGGTTGTTCAAGAACAAGTTGCCGGCCAACTGGTACGAGGTTATCGCTGCGCTGTTATTTGTAAGTTTATATCACTAAATGCCGATCCTATCTTATCCTACCTTATAAACAATTCCAGATGATGCCCCACATGCCACTGATGTTCTGTGCTCTTTTGTTCCTCTCCATCTATCTTCAGAAACATCAAGCAGCGGAGAATCAAACCAATCTCATGGCCAATCACATTCCCCTCTCGGACCAATTCAATGTTCCTATTCAGGATTGGGACGCTGCGTATGATGCTCGCCGCTCCTACAGGAAACAATAATAACAGCAGACCAAGTGTTTGGAACTGTTGGGAAGTAAAGAAGGAATACAAGAAGCATCAGGCTCAAGTTGTGGCTATAACATAAAATCTATAATATCTCTCTAGAACCTGTAGTAGAAGGGCTCATGAGATGTCAAGTTCGAACTCATTTATCTCAATTCCGATGCAAGATATCAGAAATGTGTCAACTAATAAAATATTGGTGATGTTATGATAAACAATTTATTAGTTGACCGCTCTTTGACAGAAGCTGAAAAAAGTTGGTTCAAAGCTGAAAGTTAGTGGGCCCTTTTATTACAGGTCTTGCGGTGTTTTGTGGTTGGTGGGAATCGGATGAAAGCATCGATTTTTTTGTGTTAACTTACGAAAAATAAATTTTTGCAATCCACAATTTCTCGTTTTTTTTTTTCATTTTGGTAGTGTTTTTCAATTTTTCAGTGTGTTTTTGAAAAATTCATTTTTAGTTTAAGATTCAAAAAACATTTAGTCCGTTTCTGATTATATCTTTCTTTCCTGATTTAAAAACGCAATCTCTTCTAAACGTAAAAGAAAAAGAAGCTTTTCGTTTTTCGAGTGTCTTCTTCATGGCCATCCTTGTGCTCGAGTGTGCTCTGACTCAAAAAAAAAGAAGAAATGGGCGGAGTCCAAAATAGAAGACGTTGAGCAACGGGGCCACGACGTTTTTGCAAGGCGCCGCACACTTGGTTTTGTTGGGTGACGTCGATTTCCAGTGTTTAATGCTATTTCTCTGAGTTTTTGTCAGGTTCACTACTGACAAAGTCACTTTCAAGGTTTTTTTTCTGTCCTATTCAGATGTTTTTTATGGTCAATAAACATCTCTAAAGGTCACAAAACTGCCTCGACAATAAATCAATGTTATTGACTGTCTTCATCAATCAAAAATTCTTGTATACAATAGACCTATCTATAAAGATTCAAAAATGAACGACTTTTTTCGATTTTCGTGAACCTATTTTGCGCGAAACTGGTTTTTAGTCAATTTCTGGTTCCACTTATCTCTTCAAAAATCGAACTTTTTCACTGAAATACATTAATTTGAAAATTCAAAAAACTATGGCAAAAAAGTAGAACAGGTTCTCTTTGTGTCCGTTTTAGCGACTCGCGTCCTATACTTGAATGCCATTCGGAGTTTCAAATTTTCTTTTTTTTTCCTACTGGAAGTGACATTTAACGACACACAAAACCAATTGCAAATCGATCGCAACGGGTCACAAGACATTCTCTCATGACCTTCTCTTATTTAACGTTCTCTCTTCCCTTCGCCTTCTATCGATGTGACCGTCTCGTCTCTTTTCCGCCCCATTTCTCTCTCTCTCTCTCGTCTCTCCGGGAGAGTGCTCTCTCGCCCCAAACCTCGTCTGTTTTCATCTGACGTTGGGGGGCCTTCCCCTCCTTTGTCTCCGTCAAACGTTCTATTGCGCGTCCGATCGACACACATACATACACACACTCTCTTCTTCTCTCTCCCCTGGTTGTTCTTTCCAATAGTGATCACTTGTTGTTGTCTCCTCTCATTTATCGACCGGAATTTTTTTTTCGACTTTGGAACTTGCCTCGAACTGATAGATCGATTTTATTGGAAACCAAGAGCAAACTTCAATTTCCAGATGGTCAATCCCAGACGTGGGGGCCGTATCCAGCAAATGGGTGGCGCCAAGAGAAAAGAAAGGATCAAAGTAAGTCACTGAAATTTGCTAGCTGGTGTGAAAGCATTAAAAGGGTTTTAATAGTGGAAATTAGAGTTTTGAGTGTCTTTACAGTATGCCGGGACTTGAAAATTCCTACTTTAACTTTGACACGGTAAGACACTATGAGGATATGGTACTGGCATGATAAGTTGGATAAGATAAGGAGACAGAATCATGGGTACATAGTTTTTTTGTGATAAACAGCAAGATGTAGAAATCTCGTAGCTACCCAGAAAGACGGTTTAGAGCGCGGATGTAGTAAAATGCGTTTTGAACATAGCTTATTTTATTAAAGACCATAATAGCTAAAAACCCTTTTACAGAGAAATCAAGGTGCCGTCAAGATGAGCAGTGGAAGATCCCGAATCGTCAGAAAATTCCGAGACAAGAAAAAGAAGAAACCCAAGAAAAAGATTCGTCGTACGTCAGACGCCGAGATAAGACATCAAGTATGTTTAGGATGGCCACAGAAAATGAACAATCCGTAAAACCTGTATTATATGGGCCCTTTCAATAGAAGAGCTTTCGAACTATAAAGGGACCAGCGTTTCATATACGGGGTTTACGGTAGATGAAGTTAATGAATACGCAGGGAATCGGAAAAAGGCGTCCATTCGGTTGGGAAATTTAGCCGACTGACCGACCACCGACCCCTCCGACCGACAGTCGACCGAGCTGACCGATCGGTCGGCGCGCCGACCGTTTTCGTGCATTTGCGCGTCAACGTGTTAGAATTGTAATTTACGACAAACTGTTCCCTAAATTCCGCGTTTGTCCTAAAATGAAACGCTACGTATGCAAAAATGTGTATTTAAACGCGCAAATGCACAAAATCGGTCGGCTGTCGGTCGGCGGTCGGCGATTTTTGACCGACCGAAGTGGAAGCCTTAATCTGAAAAATAGTTCACAATATGCAGTTGTTTCAGACACCTCCTCCGCCAATCTCTGTTCCACACATCAGTCCAACAATATACACTTCCGAGGAAATGGAGGAAATCAACCAGTTTTTCCGAGTAAGTAGCATTTTCTCCACCAACAAGAGTCGGAATTACGGTTTCTATTCGAGCCAGTATGTAGGACATCCTGGTCATTGAGGGAAAGGTTAAACTTTCCATTAGCGTGATAGAGTTTTGACAAATCTACCTTATTCTAACAATTCAATTTTCCAGGGTGCTCTCTTGCGACAACGTATGATGGCTCAGCTGGAGGTACGTCGTAATTTGAACAGTTCAAAATTCGCCTTTCCATTGACAATAGACCACGACCACTGTAGAAGAAAAATTCTGCTAACTACAGTAGTGTTCATATGCTAGAGCAGTGCAACCGCCGCTGCAGACACAAATTGGGTCTGAAAATCATGAAAATTGGCAGACCGTTTGGGGCTAAAACTGCAAACACAGCTATGCAGCTCGACGGTTGCCTCGCTGCTCAGCCGGGTCCATGAATTCACCCCCTCATCAAAATTCTAATGCTTGTAGTTTTTGAGGGAACTTTATATGTCCCAGCACATTTGTTCAACCCGTATTCAAAATTCACAATGAACAGAAAAATATCTGACAGGGCACGCTCTCCCACAGAACAATTCCGAACTGCAAATTAATTTTTGATCTACAGAAAAAAAGTTTGGCGCGATCACAATTGCAGGTCTAAAACCATAATTTCAGATTTTTTTTTATCTGATTTTGTGGAGTTCCAAGATAATTCAAATAATTCTTTAAAAAATAATTAGTGGTTATAGATTCATGTATGGTCGTTTTCCGGAAGAAAAAATGTCAAAAATGGTCATGTTTGAAAGTTTTTTACAGGAAAAATCTATCTCCTCTTTCAGTTTTTGACATTTCTAGGAGTTCTATAGCTCAAAAAAACCGCAATTATTTTCTCTACATTTTCTATAGATGAATTTTCAATTTGTCTGATAAAACTTTTTTATAATTCAAAAACCTCATGAAACTGCACAAAATAGCATTTTTGCGACTTTTTTCGATTATAAAAAAAGTTGTATCGGACGAATTAAAAATTCGTCCATAGAAAATGTAGAGAAAATAATTGTGGTTTTTTGAGCTATAGAACTCCTAGAAATATCAAAAACTGAAAGAGGAGATAGATTTTTTTTTGTAAAAAACTTTCAAAACGACCATTTTTGATATTTTTTCTTCCGGAGAACGACCATACATGAATATATAACCACTAATTAATTTTTTAAAAATTATTTGAATTATCTTGGAACTCCACAAAATTAGATAAAAAATTCTGAAATTATGGTTTTAGACCTGCAATGATCGCGCCAAACGTGATCGCGCCAAACTTTTTTCTGTAGATCAAAAATTAATTTGCAGTTCGGAATTGTTCTGTGGGAGAGCGTGCAGGGACATTAAAACCAGAATTGGCAAATTGAAAAACCTGCCCAGCCAAACTATGTTTTTGAAATAAATGCATTTTGAAGATGAATGATGATTCGACCAATTGGGACGGCTGGGTTCGAGAAGAGCGTCCGACATTCAACAATACAAGGATAGAAGAGCCCATTCAGGAGCCATTTCTGTGGGATCAGATTCATGAACAGTTTGAGCTGAGGCAAGCGGCGGTATGTCATCCTGAACAGTGTAATAATTTTCCAATTACGCAAAATTTCAGGAAGAGAGAGCCAGACGTGAAGCTGCGATGCAATGGGTGGTCGAAGAAGATGAAATTGATGAGCCACCGGATTACGATCAGTATGCTGAAAATGTGCCAAGAGTATATCAAATAGAACAGCAGTCTGCCGAAGAATTAGAGTACGTGGTTCGAAGAGCATTAGACGAAATAGCCAGAAATATGCCGAGAGACCCGAGTGTACCGCCAGCCGACGAAGAATTGGCAAGAATCAACGAAGAAATGGCGAGAATCGACGCAGAAGTGGCGAGAATCTACAGAGAAGTTATGGAAGAAACTGCAGAAGCTGAGATAGCTGTGCAGGAAGTTGCCGCAGAGAATGATGTTGCTGCTGTGGATGAAGATGAAGACGAAGATGCAATTCAAATTATTTACGATAGCAGAGAAGTGAGTTTAAGTATCAGTTATAGGATAAATGGCGAGTTTTCAATCTACTATAGGTTTTGACAACTTTCCATAAATAGTACCGGTCAATAAGATCTAGAAAGTGTACTTTTCAGTACATTTCTGGAATTTTCAGAAGTCTGGAGCTCGGCTGTCAAGTGTCCGAGCACTTTAAAAATTTCGGAGGGTGTGAAACAGACCTAAAAACTTTGCATTCACAGAATTTTTTGAAAATCCCTAATTTTTGAGCTATCTGCCGAGTTTCGGAAGACACCCCATTTTTCCGGTTTCAGTACAAAAAGGGCCGAAATGGGGTGTTTTCCAAAAATCGACAAATAGCTGAAAAACTAAGAATTTTCGAAAAATTCTAGTAATGCAATTTCGTAACTTTAGATCCGTTTCACATCCTCCAAATACTTCAAAGTGATCGGGCTCTAGATAGCCGAGCTCCAGACTTGTAATAATTGTTAAGATCAAATCAACTAAAAACACGGGTTTGATTATTTTACCGATCGGTACTGTATGATTTAAAGTGCATCAGTTGTTTAAAGGGCAAATTAGGGAAGTTCGAAAACCTTTAACATTTGGAACAAATTTTCAGACAAATATCCTTGTGAACTATATGAGAAACCTCCCACCACAATTACATGAAGAGGACGAGGAAGACAGCGAAGTAGATTATTCCGATTACCTCGAAATGATGAATATTGCACATGGACCAGTTTACGAAGTGATACCAGGAAGAGGCGGTTTCCCATTCTGGAATGCCGGCTATTTTGTGAGTTTTAAAAAATATTCTCGACCATAACGATTCCCATTTTTTCAGCATAATGTAGTACTTCGTCAAATACAACGACTGCGACAACGTCCACCAAGACCACCAAGAGTTCGTCTTACGTATTTCAAAATACCGTATTTCGCGCCCCGACAAGTCAAAGAAGTCGCGATCACAGACTTTGTGAACTATAATCTCTTCTTCATCAAAACCCCACCGCCTCGATAATAAGCCCTAATAGAGATTCCACCAAACTTCAATCTAAACTAAACGTCAATAGCAACAATCGGTTTTTTATAAGAGGTAGTTGTTTTTTATATGGTTGAAAAACATCTCTCATTTTTTGATTTAGTTTGGTTATAAAAAATCAAATTATTTTAACTTCTTTACCGAAGCAGTTGCTATTTTCAACTTTTTTTTTGTCTGTTACGCATTGGTTCTCCCCCTTCTTCACGTGGTTCAGTTAATTCAAATGAGATTTTTCATCTGGCTGGAGCCGCATCATCCCACTCTTTTTGTCTGAATCCCCCATCCCTTAAATGTGTTCTAAGCTCTTCCATGTAGACTTTTTCAGTCATCCTTCTGTCGCTGTAATTCGCTTTTCTGTATTCTACTTTTTTTGTGAAATTACTGTAAATGATGTAATAGAAGCCCATCCAGACCGTGAGCTTTGAGCTCACTTATCTTTATTCCTGTAAAAGATACCAAACATTTGTCAACTGATGAAATATTGGTGATTTTATGATAAATAATTTATCAATTGACAAATTTTTGATACCTGTCACAGAAATTGGGATTTTTAAGCTCAAAGTGGACTGTTTGAGTGAGCTTTAGATTTAAAAAAAACGGACTCTACTTATCCTTCTCATCCCTTGCTGAAATATATCAACCTCCATTCTATTAGTTTGCCTTGTCCATATGCTTTTAGTTTCGTTTTTGAAACTCACTTTTGTAACCAAAATTCAAAAAAAAATTAACTGACTTTTTTCTGTGAATCGAATTTCCTGTTAAGTTTGTAAAACCTCTTTTTTTGCTCTAGTTCCCCTGAAAAAAAATAGTCTTAATCCCAAAAATTATCCGTTATTTTTCATGTTATATGACCTATTCATTGACTTTGTAATTTTGAAAATGTTCCTAAGTTTCCTTTTTTCTTTTTTTTTGCCAAATTTCTTGTATACTCAAAAACACATTCTTTGCTTTGTCTCTGTGTGATTTATACTTTTCCGATTCCAATTTTCCCTTTTCTTTATTTTGTAACATCACATCTTCTTTTTTTTTCAAAAATAAATACAGTGCATGTACAAATTATGACACAAAAAACCATAAAATATGTTTTTGAGAATGCCCTAGGATTATGATACTCCTTTTTTTACAACTTCCTTCTTTGCTGATCCAGAACCTTCTGATGGTCCCGAGAGCAAATGTCAACGCGACCCCAACTCGATGTGTCATACCCGTAATTAAAGTTGGGTTCCGCGAGACTCGGGCCGCGGCTCATCTCATTTCATTTGTGGCTTTCTCCGTTATTCAGGCATCACAAGACTCAAGGATTGTGTGTTTTGTTAATATATATCTCTTCCTTTTTTCCTTCGATGTCCCTTTCAATCCAATTTGCCTTGGAATTTTTCATCAGCGTGCGTTTTTGTTTGATCTACCATAACCCAGAAGTTGTAAACATCATTGTGCATTTTTAGAAGCCTGGTCTCAAATGGTTACAACTCCTGGAAACGAAACAGATCTAAAATTTAGCATACTTGTGGAAAAGATGGCCGGCCCGCGGGCCAAATTACACATGGCCGAAAAAATTACACATGGCCGGCCCGCTTTCTGAAAATTTCGAAATTTTAGAGCAAATCATAATTTTTAAAGATGGCTTTTCTTCTTAATAAATAAAAATCCACACTAGAGGACGATTCTGTCGAAAAAAAATTGTTTTGAGGTCGTTTTTAGAAAAAAATTTCATCCTTGGCTTAATGAAGTTTGATTTTTTTGCTAAAATTCAATTAAATTGACTTTTTTGGATGGTTGTATGCATTTGGATTAATATTTGTGCTATTAAAAATATATTGGCACATTTGAAAAGTAACATTTTCGAAAAGTTGTCCTAGGCGGGCCGAGCGGGCCGGGCCGGGCTGGCTCGCGGGCCGGCCAGCGGGCCGGGCCGAGGGTTTTGAGGGAAGCGGGCCGGCCCTGCCCGGCCATCCACATGTATGAAATTCAGATCCAAAGTTTTTGTTCGAAATTTCCTCCATACAATAAAAAAGTTAAGCACTATCCATTCCATGCTTTTACATTATCTATATACTTTTAAATGTAAGATGTTTCAACATCATCTGTATACTTTTAAATGTAAGATGTTTTTCAAGCTAGTTGCCTGGTGCATCTACCCTCCAACTCCTTCTAAAGGTTCCCTCTACCCACGCAACGACACTCCGCTATCCCGCTCGGCGCGCGCACAGTTAAAATTTAGTTTTTAGTGATTGCGAGCTTGGATTTGGCTCGTGGTTGTTCTAGGGACTCTTTTAAGGATTTCAAGTAAGCTTGCTTGAATTCTAAGCTTTTATTTGTTGTTTCTTTCTAACTTGTTCATAAGAAACCGATTTTGTTACATTTCTTGTTGATTTTCTTCTATTTTATCACAAGAACCTGATACCCCGGACATACCGCGGGCTCAATGACACAAAGAAATTAGCTCAATGACACAAAGAAAAAATGCGTTCTACAGGTTATCTCCTCAAATCCGTTTGTCAGAAACTCCAATACTCATTATGGACGCCGGTAATCCTTTATAATATTCATAATCCGGCCGGCACATTCTTCTGGATGTCCCTGGCCGTGCATAGTGAGACTAAGACAATGTTGTATACGTACAATATTTCATACTCAACGTCTTCTAAATTTATACATAATTCCAAAGTTCGAATTCAACGAGATCAAACCACCAAGAAGAGACTCTTCGAAAGAGTGTGGGTACAAAGTTTCTTTTCTGCAAACGTATTATTGTAATACAAAGAAAGTTGGAGCTGTGGAAGGCCCCCACAACGACGATTACCGTAACCTGAAAACATTTTTTATGGATTCATTTTCTCAATTTTATTTATTTCTCCCCCATTTGTTCAAGGAAAAATCACATAAAACAGATGATGAATGCTGAAAAAATTCAATATAAATAATATCAGATTACAGTATTTGTCGTCGTGGGACCTCGTGGGCGTCACGGCCTCCGCCGAATAATACAAAGTTCCCATTTTTTGCAAAATCTCTACTCCGGAACGTTCCTTGATAATCATTGCGCATTTTCAACTTGCAAGAATTCTAAGAACTTCATGTGTTTCAACCGAATAAACCGATTTCCTAAGCTTCAATACACAAAATTCACCGAGGCGCATCCTCTTCAGTGAAGAGTTTTCACTATTTTCCAGCATCTTCTCCCTTATCACTTCTGCTTAAAATCTTCTCAAGCTTACCTAAATTCCCCCTTTCTCATCTTCCCTTGTGTTCTCCACCCCTGCTCATATTCTCTTCTTATCTGTCTCATTCTAGCTCCTTGGCGCCGCCCATTTCGGCCCTGCTCCTCTCGCGCCCATTCTTCTCATTCAATCTCACATTTTCCAACCCAATCCGCCTTGCTTCCTCGCATTTTCTTGTTTGCCTTCCCATGTTTTCGTGTTTCAGCATTTCCTTTTATTTGAAATTCTTATTTTCAGGATACCATGGACCTGTCCAAGGAACAGGTCTACAATATCACCCAATGTGAGGAAGCTGCTGCTACAGTAAGCAGTCCACTGTATTTAATTCCGTCCATCTTCCACACGCTGGCCACTGCCGGAACATACTACATGTTGTGGAAAATTTGCTGCAGTTACACATCCTGGCGTGCCTACCATGTTAATACGAAGGTTAGTTCACATGAGATATGGGAAGATGAGGATAATATGAAACGAGAGGTCGTGGATCTTATCCAGGAAACATTAATAAAGATAGGCGTTTTGACAGTAGTAAAAGAAAAGCAGGAGGTAATGGACTATCAGGAGGCCACACGAATTAATAACAGATCTTGGGGAAATGAAAAATAAATATCTTGCAATGTCTTTCATACCTTAACCTGAAGGAGTTGAATTTGTGGGCATAACCATAGACCTTCTACCAGCTAAGCCATAGAATGGCAAGCTGTGTAGCCGATCGATGTACTAAAGTACCAGTCAAGAAAATATACAAAAGTGTTTCTATTCAGATCTCTGCTGCCAATGTTCCGATCCTTCTGAACATTTTGGAAAGTATCAAACAGGCCTAGATTGAAAACGTTTTTTCCACGTTTTCGGTACAACGGGCAAAAAAGGTGTCTTTCAAAAATCAGCAAATAGCTGAAAAACTAGAAATTTTTGAAAAAATTTGTGAATGCACAATTTTCGGTCTAGGTCTGTTTTACACTCTCGAAAAAATCCAAAATCCTGAAAATGATCAAAATGGCCAAAAAATTAACTGAAAAATACGGTTTCGCCAACTTTAGTGACCGGTTGAAATCACGATAGCCACGCCCTGGTTTCGTCTGATTTCTTGGTCTTCTGTAGCTGCTCACTATACTAACATCGTATCATTCTTGGTTACTGCTGCTACCGTAGCTAGGTATGCCAGAGCAAAAATATTAGGAGAAATGCGACATACAAGGAAGCCCACAGGTTTGCTGTACTTATTCTAGCAAGTGATTCTAGGATACGAAGAAAATATGCTGCTAGATGGCAGATCCGTATACTGTACAGAAGCTTTCTCTCCAGTTTTTTTTCAATATCCAAAGTGATTTTTTCCATGTATTACGAGATGGAACCTTGTGAAAAACGTGCAGATATGTTTCCAGATATTCAATGACGTCTGAACCGTGTGAAAATGGAAGCGGGGGACTGATTGTGTGAAAAACATGGTGTTTTCTTCTGAGTTGACAAGTTGTTCGATGTGTTCTGAGAATGATGCATGTTTTCCGCATTCAGTGTTTCTTCGAAACAACACGGAAGTGGAGGTTGAGATTCGCTCCCAAGGGATAGGTTACGGTAGTCGAACGTTATCCGCTGTTTCATAAATCAGGCGGAAGAAATGTAGTTTCACATCATATCGTTCAAAGAGCAACACCATATGATGTCTTGTTTCTACATAGCCAATATCTACCAGACTAGAGAGATGCTGCTGAAAAAGTAGTCTAGTTGAAGACGTGGTATTTGGTTTTTCGTTAGCCAACCATAACGAGGTGAATGAGAAAAACAAGCCAGAAGTTCAAGAATCTTATGGCAGGGACTTGAAACATCAAAATGTTTTTCCCCTAAAATTACTCATCAAGTTCAAAAAGAAGGCATTTGATAAGCTACGCCTGAATGCGTGAGCATCGGGTCGTAAAAACAAACACATTTCCGTTGAACGAATTTTCTAGAATTTCGAGAGATACAGTAATCCTTTTTTTATTGACGAACAAAGATCCAGATCATGAAGTCTTGAAAAATTTTAAGGTAACTATAATTGTGGCCTTTTGTTGAGGTAGTCATTTTGACGAATGGGGTTTTTTCTCGTTTTGAAAAGCGCCTCACCAGGTTGAAAAACAGAATAAAGAGAATATTATCGTGGATATGAAAGACTTTTGAAACGTCACAGTTCTGAATCGTCAAGGTTCAGAAGCTTCGCGGTTCTGAAACGTTTCAGTTCTTAAACATCACAGTTCTTAAATTGTGCGGTTTAGAATTGTCAGAGCTCTGAAGTTCGCGGTTTTGAAACGTTCCGGTTTTAAAACGTCGCGATTCTGAATCATCGCGGTTCTCAAACGTGTACAACTGAAACATGTGGAAGAACTCGATCCGTTTGGTTAAGTCTGTTGGGACAGCGTCAATACAGATGACGCTCAAAATTATTGCTGATGGTGCATTTTTCAAAAATTCTTTGAAAAAACACAAAAATTCTGCAGACTTCAAATCCTAGTTTACGGTTCAGTGCTGTCTAGGGTTTTCGCTTCAAGTAGCAATATCTATAAAACATTTTCATTATGAGCTACAGTATACCTCACTCACGTTCTTTGTGTCAATGACGTGGTTGACTAGAAGTGAAGTGATGTGATTTGAAAAAAACAGCAATTTTCGTGTTAATCATTTTGTTCCTGAACAGAGCTTCTGGACATCACGTAGGCAATTTTTTCTGTGTAGACATTCTGATGTTTTTAGGCCACGCGCAATGTCTACAAAGGGAACCCCAGTGGGAAGATAGTGCCAGATACGAACTTATTTGATTAGTTGACACTAAATACAGATGTACAATTGTAGTTCGGAAAATCAAAGACCAAGTTACTGTAAGACCTGACTAACTATCAACTTCAAGCCCAACTTATCTCGGTTCCTGTCAAAAAGACAAAAATTATCGAATGATAAACTGTTCGTCATAACATTTTACACAATTTATCAGTTGACGAATTTTTCATAGCTTTTGAAGAAACTGAGACATGTGAGCTTAAATTTCACGGCTTGAAGGCGAGGTATCTATCAGATGTTTTATGTTACTTTAAAAACTATGCCCAACTACAATTACCCAAAATGAAATAAAATTGAGGCCAAAACAGCATAAACTGGTGTTTTCAGGTTCTGATGTTTGTTCATATGGGATCCATTGTTCTCTTCTCCACAGCCACCTTGATCAACTACATGTCTCTCTTCCTCAATGCAATAATGGCGAAAGAAGACTGTGACTATCTTTACCAAACCTCGAGTTGCTCATTCCTCCGTCGCATCTTCTTGTATGTAACTCTACATCATGCGTTAAAACCATTCTGTCTTTTTTCAGCTTCAGCAATCTATTGGGCTCTTTCATGCGGATTTCCATAATGGGAGAACGAGCATACGCCATTTATCAATTTGGCACCTATGAGCATATGCAATCGAAATTTGGATACTATGTTTCCTCTACTTTTGCTGTGCTTTCACTAGTTATTGTCTCCTGGGTTACATGGATGGAGGACAGTTCTGAGCTTCTCACAAATTGCTACGCTTTCTCGTCATGCCCATCTATCAGACACCGAGTTTATGAAATGTTCCGCTTTCAGTTATTGCTGGAGTTTGTGACATTAGGCATATGTCTATATGTCTGTAAGTGTAACCGGACTATTCGTAAACGTTACGAATGTATAGACGGTAGCAGTGAATTGAGGTAAATCGCACTAGAATCGTGAATAGTTATTCTTTTTCTTTTCAGCGTGAATCATAATGACAATGGCTGGTTATCTCCTAGATACACAACACATGAATCTAGAAAAATACTTGGGAACCTCTTTCCAATAATTATCTGCTCTAGCGTCATTATGTCTGTCTACATATGCTTCAGTCACCTGGGACATCTTCTTCTCCCAATAATGACGCTTGCACATTACAAACAATTGGCTTCTTGGATCTTTGTAAGTGAAGTTCACATGGTCCTAAGCTGTAAAATTCTTTCAGCTGATTCCCTACAACGCCTTCTTTTCCATGTTTCTTTACGATTTTGTGTTTCAATGCGACCGAGCTCAAAAACTGGTCAGACTGGAAAATGCAATGAAAGAAAAGTTTCCGACTGAAAGGTTCCAAGATATTATCTCGAAGTTCTGGGACAACCACTATGATAAGACGTATCCGGATCGAGCTTCTTCTCGTTCCGGTCAAAGCACACTAAGATCTCCGAGATACCAAACCACCAAACTTTAATTACTTGAAACATGTCCAGATTTTTCATACTTTGTTTTTTAAAATGTTTTTTTTGAGTTTGACTAAAAACCTGCAATAGAAGGATGCACTATCTGTTAACTTCAAGCCAATTTATCTCGGTTTCTGTCGAAGATATGAAAAAGTTGTCAACTGATATAATTTTTATCATAATATCACAAACATTTTATCAGTTTACAGATATTTGATATCTTGCATAGTAGCCGAGAAAAATTAGCTCAAACTCGGTAGTGTGGGGACCATTCTATTATAGGTTTTATTGTATATTTTCTAATCACCCGAAGTTCTTGACCTTGAAATTTTTTTAAGTTTTCAAGTGAACCATTTTTTTCTCGGTTGATGTTTGGAATCCAAACTTTGGATCTCTCGGTAATTCGAAATCTTCAGACGGTTTTTGGAAATCTTATTTTTCTTATTGTTTCTTCCCCCACACTCCAATTGCCGTAAACGTTCTAATAGAGGGTCATTCGCCAATTTTGAGTTAGTTTATCTTGGTTCCTGTAAAAAATATCAAAAGGACGTCAATTGGAACAATGTTTGTGATATTATGATAAACATATTGTCAGTTGACCACTTCTTGACATAATTTAAAGCATACTTGTGAAATTTCGGCCCGGCCCGGTTCGGCCCGGCGGCCCGGCCCGGCCCGCCCGGCCCGGCGGCCCGGCAGAAAAAAAACAAAATTTTTGAAAAATGAATTTTTGTTTTTGAATTTTGTTTTTGTTTTTGAAAATGAATTTATTGATTTTTAGAATGTATTGAAAAATAACTCGAAGAAAAAAAACACTGAATACCTTTTTTCGAAACAATGATTCAACTTTTCGCTCAAGATTTTGAAGTTCGCGGTAAACTTCCGGGCCGACCGGGCCGACCGGGCCTCCGGGCCGGGCCGGGCCGGGCCGGGCCGGGCCGGGCCTGTGAAATTCGTGTTTTGGCCCGGCCCTTCACAAGTATGATTTAAAGAAACCAAGATATATGAGCTCAAAGTTCTTGATTTGGGTAGTATTCTATAGAGTGTTTACGGTATTTTGACCAATATTTTCCCGAACAATCATATTTTTCTTGAAATCAGTAAATTTTCAGAAAATCTCTCAGTACATTCCCCAGGACAATTCTTCAAACTTGATTTTAAACCAATATAATAAATAAACTCAATAAAAAATCGATCAGCTGTTATCGCATCATGAAAAACAGAAAAAAAAAGAGAGGAACGCGTTTAACGGAGAGGAAATTCAGGAAAAAAAAACGTAGAGACATAAAAAAAACCGACGCCTGCTGCTTCTGTTCGGTCAACTTAACCGCCGGCGGCTTCGCCACCAAAAGTTTTTTCTCATTAATTTAATAGCATTCACACACTATTCAGCTATGCTATGGCAGCCCCCCGCCCCGGCAAATGTCAGTTTATTAAAAGTGAAAACTGAAACAAAATACGTTTCGTTTCGAATTCAAAAAAATAGGACGACTTGTATAGTTTGCCTTAAAATTGAACTTTTTTCCAATAATCAAAAATTTCAAATAACTTTTGTAGCACAATAGAGACATGTTTTGACTCGTCGTTCCACTTCACACTCTTCTATTTTGCCATAGTTGAGTTTTGCAAATATTTGCTCATATTGTGCATTTCCATATTTAAAGTTACTTTTCCACATTTTCCAAGCGGCCTCACTTTTAAGAGACAGTAAGAGAGAAAAAAGATGCTAATCAAATTGTCCTCTATGTCTGTTTAATGATTTTGTCTGGTCATCTGTGCATTAGATTAGGTTGAGAGGTTGCCTGGTCATAGAGAACGGGGGAAGAGAGGGTTGACCTGTACATTCTGCGCACCTTGAGTCAAGAGAACGAGAGATCAGGAGACGTAGGCGTTGAAACAATGAGATGGATGAGCTAAGAAAGGGTCATGTGTACCTAACATGTCTCCAGTTTAGTTGTATCATTACCACGTCATCTCTATTTAGTAAATTAATGGAGTTCTTGGCATCGATTTTTGAAAATGCATTATTTTTTATTCCGAATTTTTCAAAACTTTGTTTAAAACATGCTTTTCAAAGCTATTTAAAGCTAAAAAACATGATTTATAAAGCTTCCATGTTAATTTGTGAATTTAATTCTTTCAATTTTCTTCCTTCTCGAATATTCAGTAGTTTTTCAATTTCTACAAAAATATACCGCACCGGTCAATAACATGTACCAAAATTTATTTGTCAAGAGAGCATTTTCAGAAATCTGGAGCTCGCCTGTTAAGCGTCTGATCCTTTTGAAAACAGACCAAGATTCCCATTTATAGAATTTTTCTAAAATTCCAAGTTTTTCTGCTAATTGCTGACTTCTGAAAGACACCTGATGTTTTAACGTTTTCTGTGCAAAACTGACCAAAAAGTGGTGTTTTTCCAAAATAGGCAAATAGCTGAAAAATAGGAATTCTCGTAAAATTCTGTAAATGCCGACTTTTTAATCTAGCTCTGTTTTATACCCTCCAAAATTTTCAAAGTGATCGGAACAATGACAGGCGAGATCTAGACTTCTGAAAATGGTCAAAATAGCTGAAAATCAAATGAAAAGTTCGTTTTTGTATATCTTACTCACTTGGTACTTTATATTTTGAACTGCTTCAATCTGTTTTCTGATTTCATCCTTTTTCGATTCTTCTCCTCCTATTCCTAACATCTTCTAAATATAGTTTTCTTGAATAAATTGAGTCTCAGGCCGCTTTGATAGTGTCCTTCTGCTGCTTCTACTCTCTTCCGCGGTACCTATGAGTGGATATCGTGTGTCTCCCGCGCGGGAGACGACTGAACGTTCATTTTTCGTCTTCTTCTTCTGTTCCACCCTCTCACCACACTCCTCTCCTCTCGCTTTTTTCCTTCCTCTCATATTTCCTCTATGGCACCTTTTTCTGGTAGTGATTGTTATCTGAGGATTGCAAAAAGTTTAGTTCTAGCGTTCTAATCAAACATCAAGTTTCTATATTTACTAAGAAATTTGAATAGAACAGAGAAGCCAGATTTTTTCTTCTGAATTTCTGAGACATTTGTCTTTTAATCTGTTTTCTTGAATTAATTTCGCATTTTCCTCTCTAAAATTTTTGAGATTCCTCTTTTCTAGCATCTTGAGATAGAAAAACAAACACAAACTAAATAAGAATGGGTCCACAAAAAAAATACCATCATCCAAACTTGCTGGCTTGCCTGAAAAGGCCACAAAAATGACTCATAGAAAAATAGAAAAGACTGTGAAACTTATTTCTTCTTCCTCTATTTTATTCCATTTCTCACTAACGGTGACAATCCACACCCAATTTTTGCCTCATTCTGAAACCGGACCGTAGGTGGGGTGGGGTCGTCAGCTGCATAATTGATAGCACGAGTTTTGTAGTGTACAGTAGATTAGAACACTCATTCGGTTTCCCAGATGCGCACCTGATAAGAAAATAAAACGATTGTATCTTTAATGATAGTGTACGTTGAGGCCCCCCCCCCTCTCCCCCCGATAGGTGTCATAAAAAGGATTTGAGTAATGAATACCCAAGATTATTGTAACTCTGTCCGGTTCCTCTATTCCTGATACTGTCTTCTGGACGGGGGGCGGACGAAGAATTTGACGGCACTTGAAGAGGGTGCGCATTAACATTAACATTTTATTGCGGTTTGGTTTTGGGAGGCTGATTTACGATTCCACCATTCATTTCGAGACCTAGAAGCGTGATCCGTTTTCTTTTCATTCCTGTCGTTTCGTTTTTCTATGGTTTTTATTCTCAAAACTGTGACGGGTGTCTGTATCACTCGTTTTATGAGTTTTTTTTTGTTTCTTGATGTCCAAATTTGGGTTAAGAACTTTTTCGAAAAATATTTTATCTCTAGAAGACGTTGAGGTGGGGAGAGACGTGAATCAGTGTTTTAACATATCAAGGAAAGCGTCATCTGTTTTTTCAGCTTTATTGTTGTTCTGTCTTGATTGTGGATTTTTATTGTGCTCTGAGCAATTTTGGAATCTTAATTTTGAAGATTGGGAGACGGTTTTTTTTTTGAAAACAAATGTACTGATCCAATTATTTCATAAAATTTTCTCTCAGACGTGAAAGAACAAAGCTACAGTAAACCATATGACAGAATGGCTTCCAAACCATCAACTCTAGGACTATATATCTCATTTCCTGAAAAAGATTTTCAGAAAGTGGTTAACTGACAAAATATTCATCATGATATCAGGAATACTTCGTCAGTGAACAACTTTTTGAAATCTCTTTCAGAAAACTTAATAAATTTGGTCGAATTTGAAAGTTAGATGTGTCCTTTTATTATTGTGTTTATGCAAAAGATGTGATATGATCATATTATTTTGAGAGTTATTTTTTTGAAATCTGTTCAGAATAAACTAATTTTTTGAAATATTTTTTTAAACAATAATGTTAGAAAACTTGAAAATTATATTTGCTTTAATCAAAATTCTTCCATCTACAAAAATAAAACATGAAACTGTAAAATATTACTGTAATAACTCTAATAAATTCCTTCCAAACCGTCAACTTTGAGCTCAATTATCTCATTTCCAGTTGAAGATATCGAAAAGTGCTCAACTAGCAAAATGTTTATCATAACATCAAGAATATTTTGTCTGTTAACAGATTTTTGATACAGTACTTAGGAATCGAGATAAATTTACACAAAATTGAGAGTTAAGAAGGCATCCTATTATAGGGTTTACAGTAATTTTTGGAAAACGTTTTTCGATAGTGCTGGAAAATCTTACGAAAAATCATGGCTGCTAGAATCAAAATGAATTTCTCTTGAGAAAAATTATACAATCTGAAGAATGTAGCATTTTCTCAATACCGTAATATATTTTGATGAAATTTTTCCGAACTATGCGAGACGTTACACCCAACTCAATCATTCCAGCGTCATTAACTCCAATAGTACATCTTGCCCCATACAACTTTCTTCTCAATTTCCCTCCCAAAAACACTCAATGTACCAATTGTCCAT